TTAATGCAAGAGTATAACCAGTATAGATTTTCACCGAAAAGGATTCAAATTGGCGCGAAAGGCAAAATAGCTGTGAAAATGACGTAAGTGGACCACTGAAAATCAGTGATTTCACCATGTGTTCGCGAAAAACGTTTTTCAAGAATGATTTGGACGTGAGTGCAAAGTAACAGGTAGACCGTTTATTTACCTGAACGACAATTTAATGATATTAGAATTAAGTAACAGAAGAAATTCGATGCTTTGCATCTGAATGATGAGTGTGTAAAAGTGATGAGAGACTACCGCCCCTTGACAAACTCTTTGATTCGTTCAAAAATATATACAACGAATCAACAGAGACATCAATATACACTCTTCAAAAAAAGAAACGCATAGTTAAAAATAAGGATATATATTAAGCGGATGTAAAAGTATCTACACAGAATATACGTGAACACAATCAAATGAAATTAGACACAGTGATCGACAAAAGCATTGTCGTCATTGTCAGCATTAATTCAGTTCAGTCATTGCGCATGTGTAGCCACAAGGGGGCGTCATGGTCAGTACCTGGCCACCCCACCTCTTGCAGCCGTCACTGCTCGACACCTCCTTGGCACAGATTGCACAAGTCGTCGGATTTTTTCGTGGGGAATTCTTTGCAATGCCTCCTATAAGGCGTTGGCGAGTTGTGCCAGTGTGTAGGGACGCTGGTGACGTTGACGGACGCGTCAATCAAGTTCGTCTCACAAATGTTCAATCGGGTTGAGATCAGGCGATTTGGACGGCCATGGAAAGACATTGATGTTCTCATTAACAAGGAAATTAACTGTTGCACGTGCTGTGTGGGACCGAGCGTTGTCATGTTGGAACGGCTCCCTCTGGCGGTCCAAAGTTGGGAGGAGGTGAGGACGCAGAATTTGGTCTATGTATCGGTTTGCTGTAAGATTGCCCTGGACAATCATCTGCCCGTGTAGGATATGGCTCCCCACACCATGACACCCCCTCCACCAAATCGGTCCAACGGTCGAACGTAGTTCGGCGCAAAACGTTCATGTCGACGTCGGTATAGACGTTGTCTTCCATCCCGTCGTTGAAGTTGAAAACGTGACTCATCGCTGAGCCAAACGCGTCGCCAGTTCCTGAGATCCCATGCCTGTACTCTGTTGCACCAGCGGACACGTCGTTGACGGTGTAGACGTCGCAAGACAGGTCCAAAGTTTGGTCGTCTCGCTCGTATTCCCACTTCCCTCAGACGATTTCTGGCGGTTTGGTCGGATATTCTTCGCATACCGTGTCCGTTGCTGTAGCAAATCGATTCCGAAGGTGATGCAACCGGATGTACCGATCCTGAGCAGGGGTGGTCACTCTTGGTCTTCCACTTCTGGGATGATTTGGAGTCGAATTAGTGCGGGTATATCGATCCAATAGTCGAGATATGATGCTTTGGTGAACGTTGAAGTGTCTTGCAACGGAAGGCTGGGACTCCCCTGCTTCCAAACGTCCAATAGCGATATTTCGGTCAGCTGACGTTAATCTTGGCATTTTTCGATCTCCGTTCACGTCAGAAAATTCGTAATGAACTGATGAATTTTGTACGGTCTTTTATAGTCAGTGTCACTACTTTTGTTTCCAACACTTTGCACGTGCATTGTGCTGAAAACTTTTTCTGAAAGCAATTTCCGTGCATCCTTTGCATTTTTGCTGATAAACGTTTACAAAAAAACATTTTGAGATTTGTTTGCGCGCATTGCACAACAAACATGACATGGTTAACGGGAATCAAACATAAGAATTGTCTTTATGACGGTGCTTGGAAAAAATCTAATTGGAATTCTCAAAACACCTATGCTTTTCTTTTGTTTTGAAGAGTGTAGTTACTAATGAAGCAAATGTCTTTCTTGATCGTCCAATTACGGAGGAAGAAATATTCTGCACACAATTAGACTTAATATACTGAACGGCAAAGGAAACGTCACCCCAAGTAACATTGCATGAAAAAATTAAATTTAAATATCTGGGTAATCTTTGTCAAAGTTTCTAAAATTTAACATTACCTTGTCCTGAAAAATGAAATTGGATGATAAAAAACCCAAAGCAGATGACAATAAAACCGATCGCCCAGAAATCAGCGACACCAAGCACTTGGACGATTGCAAGCTGGACAAACCGCCCGGCAAGTAGCCAATGCATTTCAAGTCAACGTAAGGACCATATACAGGCTCCAGCAACGTAACCAGACCACCAACACTAAAGAAGACCGACCACCTAGTGGCAGACCCAGGGTCACCCCCTGACGTCAGGATGGTCAGATTGTGTGACAGCATCTTCAAGATCGCTTTGTTACTGCTGCGGACAGACCAAGGGGACACACCAATGACACATTAGTGCGGACACCGTGCGTCGACGATTGGCGAGCAGACCCCTCCACTGTCACAGGCCACACCGAGGACTGATTCTGACACCACGTCATCGTTGGGAACGCCTTCAGTGGGCAACACAGCACCAGCATTGGCGCCACCAGCAGTGGAGAAGAGTCCTCTTCTCAGACGCGAGCCGTTACTGTATCTCAACAGCAGATGGCAGAGAGAGTCTGGCGATGCCGTGGGGAACGTTATTCGGATGCTTGTGTTGTTGAGAGAGACTTGTTGGGTGGTCCGAGCATCATGGTGTGGGGTGGAATTTGTCTTGCACAGAGGGTCGGCCCTGTGGTCTTCCAGAACATCGATCCAGGGAGAGGCAATGGTATGACAGCAGCTCGGTACATTGATCAAGTTTTGAGACCACACGCCCTACCTCATTTGGCACGTCGCCGCAACCACGAGTTTCAGCATGATAACGCCCGTGCCCACACTGCGAGAGCAACAAGAGACTTCCTCCAGCAGAATGGCATCAGAACCATGCAGTGGCCTGCCCTCGGTCCCGATTTAGATCCCATTGAGCACCTGTGGGACGAGATTCAAAGACGGCCGAATGACACCTGTGGGACGAGATTCAAAGACGGCCGAATGACGCCCGACCAACTAGTGTTGTGTTTTACTTTAAGAACATTTGACACTTGAATTTCAACCTTGATGATCAGTTTTGCCAAGTTTCATCTTTTTAATATGTCTCAAAGTATGTTTACAGTGTTTGGACAAATAAGGTTTCTCATATATCTATCCATTGTGACGTTTATTTTGCGGTTCAGTATATATATTAAACAGAGAGACTACAAAGAGATCCTTAGATATATATACCAATGCTCTGTTATCATTTACATCTGCACTGAACAATAGACTACATGTACCTGCATAATTAGACTCATAGTCAAAACTGGCAGTACAACAGGTGAACAAAAGTATAGTATTGTACAACTATTGAGAAAGCTTAAAAAAGCAAATTGTTCTGTGCATTTATAGACTTAAAAAGCCTTTGATTGTGTCTGGAGAATAGGTCTGTGAAGCAAACATCTAAATATGGATTCACTGGAAAATGTCAAATCATGTCTGTGAAGCAAGGGTTACACTACTGGATATTGTAATTGTCTCAGAGGAGTTAGACAAGGAGATAATTTGTCCCCTATCCTATTTCACATTTCCTTCATGTTCCTAATCAATGTAGTGATGCCACTGTTGATGACAAACTGTTGAATATGTTCATACAATCATTTGCCCTGTTATATGGTGATGATGACACTGTGTTATTATAGCTACTACGAAAGTGGAACTACAACAATTGTATGTTTTATTTTTGCGAATATTGTTATAAATGGAAGCTTTAAGATAAATGTCAATAAAATAGATGTAAATGTCTAATATTCAATGGAAGTAAGAAAGAATATGAAAATACTTTTATCCTACAAAGCAATCTTCAGAATGTTGAAGAGTATAGATATTTGGGATTAATATTCCATTAGCAATGTACTGTAACATCAACAACAGAATCACTATGTGATAAAGGCCTTTATGCTATGAACTTAAAAAATATCAAAAGCTAGATCTTACAATGTGTCCAGAAGTTCCCAACTGAAGCTACTTGATGTCATTGCAACTCCTATTTTAACATACGGTTCGGAAATTGGGGGCTTTCAGAACTTAACAATGATTAACAAAATTAACAGTGATTAACAATCTTAACAACGATTGACAAAATTAACAATGATTGAAAGTGTTCCCCTGCCTTTTACAAGACAATTGCTTCGAGTTGAGAAAAACACACCCCTTTGTATACTGTATGGTGAAAGTGGAAGAAAACCTTCATATATTGATGTGTACTCAAAATTGATCACCTAATAGGCAAAACCTGTAACAGGAATATCAACAGGACTTCCTTGTCTCATATACAAATTTCGTCCATGTTATTTTTGAAAAATAGTAATGATTGACCAGAAAATAAGTGACTCAATTGTATCTAAACCATTCCCTTCCAGGCTGGTAATATTTACATTTGAACTTCTCCTACAATAGAAAAAAACAAACTTCCTGAAATTGGAAATAAGAAACTGTCACAAATTACCATTATATTTAAAATTTGGAGATCTGACATAGAATCCTCACCTAAGGGTGAATTCTATGAGATACTAATCAAGGATACTATTGAAAATGATTTTTTTTACAAAATCTGCCAAATAAATGGATTTCAACTTTAATACAAGTTAGACTTTTAGACCACCAATTACCAGTTGAGCTTGGTCGATGGCACCATAAAACTTTGAAGGAATGAAAATGTGTTTATGCCAATCTAATCAAATTGGAGACGAGTATCACTATTTATTTATTTGTGAATACTTTTCAGAAGTAGAAAGAAATTATTGTCATTATACTTTCTAAAGAAGCCGACTGTGTTCAGTATAATAATTCATTTTAAAGTAAAAATACTTTTATATTAAAGACTCGTGCTAGAATATGCTGTATATAATCAATATATGTAATATGTAATTGTCGCCATAAGTTTGTATATTGATCTCTGATAACTACCTAGTTATCATATGCTGTGTAGCCTTGTGTGAATAAAGTTCTGCTCTGTCAGATCATATGGCGGTTCCTGGCTAGCCTCAGGGGTTATCAACCCCAGGGGAAATATGAGGTCCGGACCAGTCGTTCATTCAACTATTGTGACTCACAATAGCTTTGTACAAGTGGGTAGGATCGAGATCGTATCACAGAAGACTGATAGTTCATGACTTATCGTGAGCAGACTGGCTTAGCTATAGGGCAAGGCCACTTCAAATAGGACACTATGGCGGATATCTGTTGTAAGTATATCTTGTTAATGCTTAGTTCACGCCTTATTTACAACGTGAAGGTAGTTAACGCGGCGTTAACACGTACAGGAGAGCAAGGTCAACACACTCGACGATTACCTGTTTACCTAGTTGTCACATGGTCGAAATTCAAAGTTAAAAAATGAGCGTGGTCGTTTAGGATAGTACTATGAATACAACATTCGTAGCTTATTATTCGACTATAGACAGTTCTCTCACGGTGCAATATGGCAATAAAGTGTGCAGCTGAATTCGAGATCGATTACAAGAAACGATTAAAAGCCGATTCTAAAATCGTGTTCATTATAGCATTTATATACATAAACATATGCCTTCAGTGGATTATCTTGCTTCAAACTCGGTTCAGTGTAGGCGTGGGGGCCCGCGAGACGAGCGATTCATTAAGGCTAATTGTCATGTTGGCTATCTGACTTCGTAGGAGTTATAAGCATGGTTATATCTATTTTGAATTTGATTGTAACTACAGGGTACAGTTGCACATTGCTACCGACGCCACCATTCGAATGACCAGCTGTTGCCAAACCTATTCCCGACCGCACCTGATATCACACAATGTGTAATGGAGGTGTATGTGACACGCAGTGCAAGAGATAACCGAGTTCATAAGCATCGTATGTGGACTTGTGCAAATATCACTTCACGCTCACCGGTGCATTGTTTCCGTCATCCAGACGGCATTCTTGAAGTTATTCGAATCTTATTGTAACGTAAGGTCAGGCGACGTCACACTATAGAAACTGAAGCTGAAGATTGTTGATGTTATGCGATAATTGTGGTTTTCTGAGACAGCGTTCGTGAAAGGGGAGCTCTAAAGGATGAAGATCTGAAGTAACAAAGAAATTATTACACTCGCATGTGTACTCTCTATGTTGTTATTAAACGGGTGGGACGCCGGGTGATGAGCATCTACCATTTGGGACAAAACACATGTTAATCTCGCCATAGCCATTCAGATGTTCTATTCCAACAAAACGAGTTTATCATTTTTAAGTATATCAATCGTCCATGTCGATATATTTAACGTTATGTCGTGTTACAAGCCATATATTGCATGTTGTGACAAATACCAATAAGTAGACCATCAGAACACGCAAACCCATAATGGGTCGCATTGATATTATTATAGATAACATTGATGTGTATCTTTTAACTTCAGTATTGATGTATGTCATATATAGTAGCAGCGAAAATATAAGATGAAGTGCGGATATATGCTGACCAAAAACAGATGGGGATCTTAAATATTGTGGGGATATTTTTGTAGTGATGATTGAGCTCATAATGTCAAAACAATATCCAAAAACATATTTATGATCCTCAACGTGTCTATTGTTGTTAACTAACATGTTTATTTCATCGTTCCTCTGACAAAAGGGATAAGTTCAGGACGGACGCACGAGTGAAAATGTGAACGTGTTCAGGTCACGCGATGCATAAATGTGTTACTGCCTATATCATGTTTGAGAGACCAGAGTGTAGTGACGTGTGGTGGTTCTCATATAGATTGATGCTGGAGTCCACGTGCGGGAAATACACACAGATGATACTTTATACAATTTACTATTCATTCCCCTTTAAATAAAGCCGTCTAGACATTACACCCCACCATACACATGGAATAATTATTTCAACCAGATTGTCATTACAATTCATCATTAACGTGGTTAAAATACATGCATTGTAATTACACTCCCTATAAACATTGTTTAAATACAGTCCTGTAACCATTAGACCTCACATTAAACGTGGTTTAAATACAGTTAGATAACCATTACACTTCACTCCAAACATAAGCGTGCCTTTGTCCTATATTCATCTGTAGTACGCCTCATGAGTTGAACTCTTAGTTCTTAGGACAGACATGCCTTTTGTATTGCTACGCATGCAACGGCAGGGCAGAGTATGGATGCGCATAAAAATTAGTATTAGGTAATTAAATGGCACCTATCCTTACCATGGAAATGTAAGCTTATTTATTGAAACCACACTCACTATGCTAACCCAGACACCCATGGCATAACATCATCTACTGGCCACCATGACAGCTGAAATGTTGCTGAATGCATCATTTAACAACCAAATGGAAAAAAGATACATGTTCATATGATTTTTTTAAATAGAGAATCTCTCCCCCTAAATCCCCTCCCTAACCCCGTATCTTCTGATATCAAATATATCGACACGAGTCGATAAAAATGAAAACAAAATCCTATTCTTAATCATTCCTCCAACTTTATCGGCATCTCTTAATCTGGTGTGGTGAAGCTGGATGTTTGTGTATTTGCAATGGAGGTGGATCTTCACAGACCTTTTATTCAATTCTAAACATGTCCCCGGTGGCAGCGATACCTAAACTGAATTGAAAAAGATTTATACACCCATGTTTGATGGTGGCTAAAATGAAACAAACAAGAAATGATTATCCAACAGTGATGTTTTTGATACGGGTATCATAGTTGTGCTTTGGAACTTTAGTTTGTTTCGGCCACTGTTTTCAACATTTTGATAACCTTTGTAATTTTTTCATCCAGTTTTCAAGTGTATACTTTCTTTTCCCGACCAGTTTATAACGTCATGTTTGCCAGAATCAGGCATACACGTACAGGAAGTCTATATAACACTGTTGTATCACAGTCTGCCAAGACACCAAATTGTTCATATCATTTGTGTTCTGCTGCGCTTTCAGAGGCGATCAGACAACAAGAACAGCCATGCTTTCTGACAAGGACATCGATGGAGGATGGGCGTGGGTGGTTCTGGTGGCCACATCACTTGGCATGGTTTTCAGAGGCAGCACGGCAATATCTCCTGGGTTTCTTCAAGTAGAGTTCTTGAAGTATTTTTCTCAAAGTACAGGCTACACCAGCCTTGTGACGTCCACGTTTCTGTGTCTGGAGTTCGTTATGGGTAGGTTACTTAGGACTCCCCTCAAGTTCAATTTTTAAGTTTGTTTTGATATTTGCGGTCATCGTTCCATCTGTACTTTGTAGACTTTTTCTCTAAAATCAAAGGCACACGTGATAGGGAATAGACGTTTCTCACCGATTTCAAAAATGTCATTTTAAACGGTATATGGTCTTTTCCATCCTTGAGTTCTGTGACGATGTCCTTCACGAACATATTAATTCTTTCGACATGTATTCGAAACCACGAGTCTATAAAGCACATATGTTGCATGGAAATTCCAAGCAATAGTATCATATATACTACTAAAAAAAGTTACGGGCAACGCCATTCTATTTTATTTTCTAATATATTTGAGTAGTATACATTCTCCCATACTTGATATTTTTATATTTACTCCATATTTGATTTAGACATAATCACAACATTGAAATATGTTTTCTTATAACGCAGGCTTTTAATTCGTTACGAACGTTAATATGCAGTAATTACAGTTGCATGTAATATTCCAAAATGACAAATGGCCCATTCACACAGACAGGACATCTTTTAACATCTTTTCGTTTGACGCTTTCGGGAATCGAATCCCTGACCTTACCATTAGAGGACTGTGTGCAGTGAATACAGTGCTACCTTTGTCTAATATCAGACGGTAGTATGCTTCAAATTAATAGTGGCTAGATTGTATTGAAACAGTAGATCTTTTACCTTTGGCTGCTACCTAAGAGAGGCGAGATTGCATTTCAACTGTAAATCTTCTATCATTGTTCATTTAGAAAATACACCTACTGTGTTTTGAAAGTTGATGTAATCCCACTGTAGATTGTTTAATTTGCAACCGAGCCCTTTAGCGCGAGGTTTCAAATTAAAATAAGAGATAACTAATCCACAGTGGGACTACACCAGGTTTATCTCCTTTCTACCATGACGACCAGAACGATTTGAAAATGGTGCTCTCTTTGACGCGTAATTACACATGGCTTCAATGGGTACATTGGTAGTTATAAATGTATCAAATAATACATTCAAGATCAAGATCACAGTCTTGTTTTGTTCAAAATAAAGATTCAAACACATGTCTTTTTAAAAGAAGCTGTCAAACAACCCTCCAAAGATATATTTGCACTGCTTGGACTCAACCAAGTCATTTCTCGGACATGGACGTAACATGACATCTCCTATTGTAGGGGTGACAGGTTTATTATTCAAACAAACTATTAAAAAACAGGATTTAAGTTATCATGAAGTTGTACGTATGTGGCACTTGGTTTGAAATATCTCCCCAACAGCAATACATATAATTACAAATAACTATCTCTCAACCCCGAAGGGGGCGGTCGGGTAGCCTTGTAGTTAAAGCGTTCGCCCGAAGACCCGGGTTCGATTCCTGACATGATATTGCTGGAATATTGCTAAAAGCGGCGTAAACCAATTTAAAGGGGCATCAATAGGAAAAGGGATACTAATCAGAATCAAGCATTCTTTAATGTCATTGTAGAATTCTTTAAATTTACTAGATTGTATTACATCTGTTCTACCCACTGTCTATTTTACCATATCCACCGCTTGTATGGCATATTATACATTTGGTTTTTTTTAAGGTCCAATATCCAGCGTGTTTTGTAACGTGTTCAGCGTCAGGACGGCCATGATGACCGGTGGCGTGTTGATGTCGCTGGGTCTTGTCATCGCTAGCTTCACCACAGACATCGTGCAGCTGCTTCTAGCATACGGAATCTTTGGTGGTGAGCATCTTTTTGTGCAGAACCCAACTAAACCTGGTCATGATACATTATTGCATACTATCACTGAATGTGATAAAAACACAGATTGTGAATGCGTTTGGTTTAATGCCGTTTTGAACAATAATTCAGTTATGTCACAGCATGTCAACTTTATGAGGGATTAAAAGCCCAAAGTGATGCAGGCCTTTTATTTCTCGACTTTGGTACTTAGATATCAGCTGAAATCTGATATTCGAACCCAAATTGTGAATAATTAGCAGTGCAATAAGCACTTTATTTGACACAGGCACCAATACCGACTAAAGGTGATGATGTGGGCACTGTATGAGATACAAGAAACACAATGGAATACTGGCACTATAGACACTAAATGTTATACAGGAAACTAGGGTTTTACAATTTATCAGTGAATCAATGCATCCCGATTTTACACCAGAATGTAGGATACACGATATGCCTTCTGACACCCCTGATCATTGGAGCAGAGATCCGTGACACCCTCCAATGTATCCGGTTGTTTTTTAATTCTGTACCGATTGTCAAAATGTCAAAAAATAATATTATTCATCATCTTTTTCAATGTTTGTTTAAAGTAATCGAGCGGTGGAGCAGTCTAAAGTGAGTGAGTGAGTATGGTTTTACGCCGCTTTTAGCAATATTCAAGCAATATCACGGCGGGGGACACCAGAAATGGGCTTCACACATTGTACCCATGTCGGGAATCGAACCCGGGTCTTCGGCGTGACGAGCGAACGCTTTAACCACCCGGAGCAGTCCAGAGGTTACAGCCTTCGGTCGTCACGCAGAGGCCAGGGTTTGATTCCCCACATGAATAGATAGTGTGAAGTTCGCTCGTGATAATGTTCGAATGTTCCCAAAAACGGTGTTACGCCATACTCAATTTCTTTTTATAAAAAAACGACAAAAGCAGTAAATTTCCATAATCATGATACGGAAGCTAAAAGCATTATACGATTGAGACTAAATTTTACCCTACTAAAGTGTGTCTATGAATCACAAGCAAATGGTAATGTTACCATGTATTCGCGAACAGGTACGCGTATTCTGCCCAATCGGTGGGACCCGTCACAAACACATGCAAAGGTAAGTCAGTTGATGATCTTCCAAAATTGCATCCAACATCATTTTTGTCACTGATGCGTCAAATTTGGAAATATCCTCAACATGTCTACCTTAAACGTTTGGAAGCATTGACAGCTTTGTTGAGGCTTTGAATGCTGTAACTTTGCTCAAACAACTTTTAAAGAATAACGACTTTGTTTCTGTCTTTCAGGTTTGGGGTTCGGCTTATCCTACACGCCTCACAACATAATTCTTGGTTATTACTTCAATCGGCACCAACCTTTAGCAAACGGGGTTTCCCTAGCTGCTTGTGGTTTTGGCCTCGCCGTGGGACCATTCTTTGTAATGTGGCTTATAGAATCGAGGGGATGGCGAGCCACAATCGCAGCTTTAGCTTGCTGTAGTTTGCAGTTCTGTGTGGTTGGCTCTTTGTTTTTCCCTACAAAACGTGAACGATCAACGAAATATGGCCCAGGGAGAATGAAAATCCAATGTGGCAAGTGTCATACACCGGAAACATGTTTATGGTATTTTAAAGACGTCCGATTTTGGATAATGTGCATGAACTATGGACTTTTAATGGTTGGCTATGGAATCCAGATTGTCCACTTTCCCGCATATGCTGAATCACTGAATATACGTCCAGACCTCCTTTCATGGTTGTACACTACCTTTGGAATCGTCGTAACTATAGCACGGGTGCTGTGTGGAGTTTTATGTAACGACAAAGCGGTGGACCTCCTGATGGTATATTTCAGCACCCAAGCCCTACAGGGACTAGTCATCGTGTTTATGCCACTGTACGCTAAAGACTACTTTGGTATGATGGCCTATCAGGTACTGGTGTCCATCTTCTATGGATCTAGCCAGGTCCCTCTGTCACCGCTCGTTGTGGAACTGTTTGGTGTTGACAAATTGTCCACAGTATTCGGGTGGATGATGCTGTGGGGAGGTGTAGGAGCTCTGGTTGGACCGGTAATTGCAGGTAAAAATGTTTGTTGCGTTCGGATTTAGGGTGTCACGATTTACCGATATATCGATGCATCGCGAATTTACACCTGACGATACTGTATACCATACGCCTGCCAATGTATCGATTCATGTTTTAATTCTGTACCGATTTCCAAAAAGAACTATTTACGAAGTTTTGCAATAACCCTCCTTGATGTCTACTCGGGTAAAATAGTAACAAATATTTACGTAACACAATTAAAACAAAGCAACAAATATCAACAAACTGTATTATTTGTGAAAACTGCAAAATGTCTGTTTCATATCAATAAAATGTAGTGTTAATTGCTAAACAAAAAACTACTGTTAGCTCCGCCTTTTCAACAGGCTTACTCCAGCGAGGGCAGTCGTCTGCTCCGCTGTCAGCAGTCGTAATTTAACACCAGTGCCTAGATAAAAGTAGATAAAACATAATTTTATGGACCTATTTTGAGTGATGTCGATGCGAGGATCTGTTCATGAAAGATTTATATATGACTATTTTATATCTGCTGATCCCGAGCTGCAGTAATGATTACGGAAATAACATTTGAAGAGCGAAAGTTATGAAGTAAAACGTTGGTTGTATCTATCTATTTTTACGTTACATTGATCGGACGTGCTCAGAAATAGTTCTGATGTATGCTCAACTGTGATGTGCGTAACAATGCTTCAAAATGTCCAACATTTTATGCCTAAAACTCGGTTAATGAACTATTCTAACAACCAACCACCATCTACGACGTGGTCTGGTCTGCTTCAAAATGAGCACACACTTCATGTTGGAAAAGGTTGTAAATTCTCTCTAGACAGCTTTCCTTTTTGCAGGCTGGCTTCATGACGTCACCACTTCGTACTCCAGTGGGTTTCATGTCGGAGGTAAGGGGGATAACATTTTGTTTGATACCACTGTGACAAAGCATGGATATGCCTTATTCGGGTTGAGGAGAGGTGGAATGTTGTCAGAGAGTACAACTCATGAGCGTCTGAGAGTACAACGGGTAGGTCAGAGCGTACAACGGATGAGTCAGAGAGTTCAACACATGTGCGTCTGAGAGTACAACTGGTGAAAGGAAGAGAGTACAACGGGTGAGTCAGAGAGTTCAACAGATGAGCGTCGGAGAGTACAACTGATACAAATCTGAGAGTATGACCATACGAGTCAGAGAGTACAACGGTTGAGTCAGAGAGTTCAACAGATGAGCGTCGGAAAGTACAACGGATGAGTCAGAGAGTTCAACATATGAGCGTCTGAGAGTACTGGTGATAGTAAGAGAGTACAAAGGGTGAGTCAGAGAGTTCAACAGATGAGCGTCGGAGAGTACAACGGATGAGTCAGAGAGTTTAACAGATGAGAGTCAGAGAGTAGAGCGGATGAATATCTGAGAGTACAACCAATGAGAGTACGAGAGTACAATAGCGAATATCAAGTACAATCGAAGAGAAAAGCTTCTGCGACAGTAACTTTTATTGAAAATCTTGAATCATATTAAATCATCTCAAAGTACTAAGTTCATTATCACTATTAGATCATTTGAAATTCAGCGGCACAACAATGGACAAGAAAACATCTTGAGAAAGATCACTAGCGCGAATACATCCTTCTGGAGAAGGAGGGGTGCACTATGGAATCGCGAATTAACGTACAAGATAAATACGATTAAACCGAGACGCTATTAATTGTATTTGGTTGTGTTAAATTTCTAAGAAATAAGCAAATAACTGGATACTACATGCTTACCCTTTTTGCGATCACCTGGTGTCATCACTGATTTTTAGTGGTCCATTCATGTAATTCCCACAGCTATTCGCATTTACGCCAAGTGGAATCTGTTTTGGCAGAACATCTAGGCTGGCTATTCTCTTGTATTGACAATTTATATTTCCATATACCAGACAGCTGGCAACAATACTATCGACTACAATGATCACTGGTGATATTCTAAACGTTATATAATACATCCAAACAACAGCAATTTACTTCACATGCTAATTGTTATGTTTAACACATACAATTGCTTACTATTCTCCCTTATCCATTCTAGGTGTTCTGGTGATGTTAGCTGCAGTGCTCGTTCTGTTCATCCCCGTGTGTAAACATGAAGAAAATAGAGAAGAAATCACAGAACCGGAACTAGCGGAAAAACTTGTACACAAAGACAAAACTATTGTTGTGACGTCTGACTTTCAAACAGACGATGTGTTGTGTCGAAGATCATTAGAACTTGAAGAATAGAAGAAAAACTTCTCGTTCGAACCAAGCCATGTTATCCAAGCCCCTCGCCAACGGGGGGTATTTATCTCAGGACATGTTTCATTCTCAGGGATTGGGACAGGCATGATACGTTCAGAAGCTTGAGGATATCCAGATAGTCAGGGAACTGGACAATCCGTAGCCACGGAGATCCTTTTTTAAAATGTATTTCGCAATAGGTTCCACCGTTTTACAACAGACCCTGGCCCGTGAAGATCTTCAACAACCCATGCTTGCCGTAAACGGCGACTATGCTTGTCGTAAGAGGCGACTAACGGGATCGGGTGGTCAGGCTCGCTGACTTGGTTGATGCATGTCATCGATTACAATTGCGAGGATCGATGCTCATCACTGGATTGTCTGGTCGAGGCTCGATTACTTACAGACCGCCGTCGTATAGCTGGAATATTGCTTAGTGCGGCGTTAAACACTCCGACTAAACACTAAACCCGATCCCGTTAGTCGCCTCTTACGACAAGCACAATCGCCTGTGACGACAAGCATGGGTTGTTGCTGAAGACCTATTCTACCCCGGATATTCACGGGTCCCGAAATAAAGTACGAATGCTCCAAATCAGGTACGGATCGGACGAAAGTTTTAGGTACAGGTTAGCCCTTTTCGGTGGGTAAGAATCTCCGTGGGTACGGATCGTCTTGTATCCGTCAGTATCTGACATCATATTGTTTCATCAATATCATGAATACTAAGTATTGATTTGATCTCATTCAAGATTTGAAGTATATACGTAGTTAAGGAATAAAGTGCATATTGATTAATGTGTTTCGTTGAAAGATAAAATTATATTTAAAGTTGAACATAACTATACATCAAGATCTACGAGAAGAATGTAAATGGTTTTACAGGGGACATAAATCTGTAATTCCTTGCGCGGAGTAGGTATGTTTTCTCTTTTTAACCACAGTTACATCATTTCCAGTCACCTCGTGTCTCATACTATCAACCATAAAAGCGTCGACCTGGAAATGTATTGAGTTTCAACATTGGTTGGAAGGAGCTTGTGAAGTTTCAGGGCCATTGGTCCAGTAGCTTCTGATGACGTCTCCAGTGCGAGGAAATCCACTTTGAGAGAAGTTAGGAGCATGGTTAAAGTGAAAATGTCAAATAAACGTCAACATTTTAAATATCGCAAAACACGTAACGAATTGTTAGTCCCACTACTAACTACATTAAATCTTGAACAAGAGTGGCTTAGAAATGGTCACAAATAGGTTTTTCATGGAGGCGGCCATGTTGAAAATCGAATTCGCACCTCTCGAAAAACAGGGGTTGTTATCATTGGTGGGTACAAGTATGTGAAGTGTCAGCTTCATTGGTCCAGTGCTTTCTGTGGAGATGACATACACGACGCCCGACTGACCTTGAACAGTATTTCAGTTATTACACTATGTGCCAGCTTGGTGCTAGTGGAAATCCCAAAGTGATGCAGGTCTCAGATGCTTACCACTTTGGTGAAGCCCACGAACACGGATATGGTGCTGAAAAACCAAGAAACATATTTAAGGCGATTCTGGTCTTCTGTCACGCCTAAGGGACGCAACTCTACACACAAATTGCCAGTCGGTCAAGTGAACGAGATAATTCATTTAAAATGGTGGTGTTCTAGATTTTGCTAGGATGATTTCAGTATCAGACGATTCGTTGGTTCATTGGATGATTTGAGGGCTATATTATTGAATAAACAATGTAGAATTCCGTTTGGACAGCATTCTCCTTTTGAAAACTATTTTTGTTTTCAATTTGAAGGGTCCACATAAGTAGCTTTCAGATCTTTACTAGACTCAAACTTGAATATGTAAAAGTGTTTCCTCCTATGCTGGCTTACGAACCATTGTGTGAAGCCCATTTCTGGTGTCCCCCGCCGTGATATTGCTGGAATATTGCTAAAAGCGGCGTAAAACCACACTCACTCACTACGAATAACCATGCATTATATACCTGTGTGCATACACATCACATGTATATATAGCGCGGTCGGTTTCATGTAACAGGAATCTACTGTGATAAAACATGCAATGCCTGGTTGGTCAAATCATCGGGGTTGCAGCGTTCCTGCTTTTCAGACCAGCTAGGATAACTAGGCCACTACATGGATCGAGTGGTCAGAGTCAGTGACTTGGTTTATACAGACCATATCGCTGGAATTTACTAAGAACGGCGTTAAAACAACAGACAAATGAAACAAAACGAACAAACATATTTTCACATCTTCATACAAATCCAATGTATCCCTATCTCAGGGTAAGGATAGTGATATCGAACAGGGAGGCTAAATACAAGGACCCCTAAGTACAGTCTCCGCGGTGTGAGGTGAGGTGAAATTGCGTTTAACGTCGCGTCCAAGATTATTGCAATTATATGGCGACGTGCATGCACGTGTGTGTGTGTGGCTGCTTGTACTAGTCCGGACTGATGCCGATTTATAGTGCTAGCCCACTGAAATACCATGCCGCAGTTTAACATGAATACCCCACTCAGACACAGTATACGGACTCCGAGCCGACCAGTCCTTGTTTTAGCCCCTTAATGCCGAGCGCCAGACAGTGTAACAACAAGTACCATCTTTTAACGTCTTTAAAAGACGCGTATGACGCGTCCGGGGATCGAACCCCGGACCTTCCGCTCTCCGGGCGGACGCTCTACCACTAGACCACGGAGGCGGTGCAGTCTCCACGAAGGTCCCGAGAAGAGCGCCTGATCAAGTGCATGAATTCACGTCTAGATTGCCTCAGTTCCTGAATGAAATTATTTTGTTCACATATAATTTTAAATAAGTTCGGGAACTAATTATCAGTTTATTAGGGTCAGTCTACACCTTTACTTGTTTGTTTGACTGCCATCACTACACTGTTCTGAAAATTTGGAAAACAGTTTTGAAAATTGGATTATATGATAATAATTCTATGATTGCATGTATGCCTTGGGCATTTTGACACAACATTTTCCATTAACTGTATTATAAACAGGAACGCCGTGATATAACTGGAATGCTGTTAAAAGCGACGTTAAACCCAACTCACTCACTCACTCACTATAAACAGGATATTTGTTTGAAAAAAGCTGAAATACCTTATTGTTATTGAGATTTGTGTGTTTATTGTCAAGTGGACTTTATAACCCAACACAGACCTTTAAAAACCACATAGAACCGCCTGAGATGTACGCTAAAATTCTCCATTTCATGCTGCATTCCACGAGAAGAAATATGGCATCGGAAAATATCATCAGCCCTAGGAACAAGGGAGAGAACTCTGTATGTCATAGTGGATTTTGTTATTATCATAAGCGACTCCTTTTTCCTGTACACACATTTTGTGACGTAGTCCACACACAGTTGTTTGGGCACGTTCAAAAGAGTGGTTGCCAACGCGCGTTTCCACTAAAACTATTCTCAAAATGTCACAACAAGGAGCTGCTTTGCAAAGTTATAACAACGAATTGGTCAAATGTAAGTTCCCAGGCATATTTGCGATACCCCATGGTCAATTAGGTGAATTGTGAATTCCGTCGACAATCGAGTGAAATTTTGATTTGTTTACAAATCAGGTGTTTCCAATGTTTGATCAGACACATATGTTATGATCAGCTGATCATTAATTTGACACAATTGTCGTTAGTTTTTGTTTTGACCGTCCGTTACACAATGAGCTAAACGAAATGGAAGTCATAATGTGAATTGCTGGCTGTACATCAGGTTTTCTTTTTGTCAGATATTCTGTTATTTATAAATATAATATTCTTTGGCAAAACGTCAAATTTATTGTAGATTTGCAGTCTATGTTAAATACTTTTAACACTACAAGCCAAACCTAGTCTATTGGCATGTTTCAGTCGATTTTAGTGGTAATTTATGGGCTATTATTATTAGAGTTGTGATTATTGCTGGGTGCAATTATTAAATCTGTTCACCCCCCAGTATAATAAAAGCTCAATATATCTCAAGAACAATTATTTGGTGTTTGCTTCATCTCATGTGCCTCTCCGATCAATCCTTAGGGTTAGTTGGGTAAGGGTAAGGGGATAGGTACCCCCAACTCAATCCTTAGTCCTTTGATCCTTGAATGAAAATATTCCAATTTTCAGTACACATGCATTATACCGGACACCTATCCGCCATGTTTGTTTGATGCTACTGATAAAGCCGCACGTGACAGAATCAATATTTTAAAAATAGGCTTTACTGACGAAAGAATTTAATTCGAGCTGTTGAGTGGGGGGGCAAGCCCCTCAAAGCCCCTGTTATTTTAGCAAGGCGACATAAATGGTGTCTGAAAAACCGTTACTAAGGTAACATCCCTTACCAAAATGGTTGCAGGTGTCGGGTATACTGCATTCTTGCCTAATTTTCTTTATCAGCTCTGATTGCAGTATACCAGATACCTTCCACAACTTTCGAAAGGAATGTTTACAAGACATTGAAATTGAACACGATTCAGGTTTGGGACTTTGGCTACAAACATGGTACTGTAGGTATATGTGCTCTTTAACCACACAAGCTGATACATATTAAAGTTTAACATAGTTAAGATACCACTGAATTTAACAAATATTTATATTATAGAAAAAATCCAGTTTTGAACATTTTGTTCTACTTTGCCTGGTTAGGCCATTTAGTTTCCAAGATAAATCCTTGCAGGTGGTCAGGCTCAGTGACTTGGTTGATGCTGTGTCATCATACACCAGTGTTTGGGATATAAACCACTTGATCCAAACTCAGTTATTTACAGACCTTTGCATATAGCTGGAATATTTGTTATGTCCTTCACTCCAACACTGATGATACAAACAAGGGGGAAGGAGGGTGTTAGCCTAGTGGTTGAAGTGCTCACTTGTCACGCCAAAGACCCAGGTTTGAGTTCCCCAGATGTGTACACTGTTTGAAGCCCATTTCTGGTGTCACCTGCAGTGATATTGCTGGAATATTGCAAAAAGCAGCGTGAAACCATACTCACTCAGTCTGTATCACTTTCTACTTTACTTTTTTGTACTACTTTGAGGAAAACTGACTCATTTTTAATATGACTGCCCTAATGACTTGCCAATATGATATGAGTTATGAAATATATCTGTCCTTATCTGTTCAGGTATGAAATCTGACTGCCCTGAGATGCTGATATTTGAATGCAATTGCCTGGTCAATACGCATATTTACAGAATGCCGTCATATTGCTGGAATATTGCTGTTTTTTGCGTTAAACAACAATGAAAGAAAATGATATGTGAATACAAGCATGAAATCTGACAGTGCTGAAATGAATATGATGAATGTCACTGTTAAAGTGAATTTGACTGGTGAATATCAGTATGACGCAGGGTTAGAATTTAATTTTTATAGGCACAAGCAAATTTTTGCTTGTGGTTTTAAAAGTTACAAGCAAAATCAAAAATCAACAAGCAATTATTTTTTCTCAACTCAAAACTTCAAAATATATATCACAAGATTGCATGATCATGATTTATGCTGCATATAAATAATGGCTGATTATGCATGTTATGACATTCAGATAACAAAGTAATTAAATTACACTCATAAAACATTTATCAAAGAAAATATCTGCATGTTTGTAAAACATCTTTGCTACCACATATTATACATCATTTCAAGTTCCAATCCTATTGTTTATAACATATGTTATGTTTATCACATTATTTAGATAATGCATTTACAACTTAATTATGTTCGTTGTAAATAATGAAAATGTAAACACATTCATAACGTCCAGATTAAGGACCAAGGAAGCGCAAAATTGACGATATTTGCAAACAGAATCTATAAGATTTCATAAAAAACGCAATTCGAAAAATATTTTTAAAAGAATTGTAAATAGATCTGGTATCTGCCATCACCCATTTCCCGATAACAGCGGCTGTCCGTTCAGTAACATGAAGAGATACCTCCGTTTTCAAATAACACGTTCGTCGAAGACTGCCATGTGACACGTCGCTAGAAAGCTTCGATAAAATTGGTTTCTAATGACTCTGTCTTTGCCAAAATCTGCTACAAGGTTCGTGACTGGTCAAATCTGAGCACGTGACCTAAGTCGGCCAATCAAATTACATCTATGGTATGATAAATTTCAGAATTTGACGAAAGAATTTTGTTAAATCGTGTTATTCTGAACGTTTTAAGCAGGAAATTGCGATCTATATTAGAAATATGGAACTTCATAGATGTAATCGTGCCAGGTTACGAGCTGTGACAAAGATTTTTCATGCTTATATTTTTGCATTAAACATCGTCTCCGAACCGAGGAAATTGAGACGACGAAAGCCGAGATGTCATTTGACTTACATTACACGCGATCGCACGAAAAGATGGAAATAATAACTTATATGTAAGTTTGACAACTTTAAGATATATTTTTAAAATTGTATCTATTACTTTGTATAATATATAGCTTGAAATGTCTTTACATTGCTCTTTGACATGTTCGATGTGGACCCGTTGTCGAAAAGTGTTTTCGAGATTTTATTTTCAATAACATTGCGGGAAATAGCCTAGTGAATATTTTTTAATTTATCGATAAGAAATGATAAATTGAAATGGAATACGTATTTAAGACATTGTGAAATGTGATAGATTAAATAAATTAATCATAGGACAGGTAGGTTGATAAAATTATATACTATTTTGACGTGCCTACGGGTGTCGTCTGGGATTCGAGGATGGCATGTCATCTTAAAATAAGAAACGACCTTGGGTCAATTGAATAAATTACCGATGACATAGTTTTTACGGCATTTGATTGGTCTCCCGAAAATAGACATACGTCATTTGCATAATATTAATCTCCGTGCTATATGTTCATTGGTCAAAAAGAGCTCGGAATAGTCCGCGTTCACGAAAGTTGAAAAGAAGTAAAAGTTTTTCCCGGAAACGCGAATGGGGAGGTAACTCTAAATTGGAGGTAAACAAATCAAGGATAATCTTCGCGAAATCAAATGTTATCACGGTGAATTTAGAAATTTAGGTATTTCTCAACCAATTGTTAAACGGAAAAAAGCAAGACGCAAAAAATATCGTCTTTATTTTGATTTATAGACGCAAAATCATAAATTAAGACGCATTTTGCGTCTTAGCGTCCCTAAATTTCGAACCCTGCAATGAGTAACAAGGAACTGTGTTGCAGGTATTGAGGACCTGTGCGGCAAAAGGGATGAGCTCCACAAACACATCCTCCAGGAGGAGGAAGAGAAGCAGAAACTACAGAATGACATGCGCATCCTGAGTGAGAGGCTGGCAAAGGTTAATGAAAGTCTGGCCAAGAAGATGGCATCCAGGAACGAATTTGACAAAACAATAGCTGAAACGGAGACTGCATACATGAAGGTAGGTGAACACACTTACCTTACCAGGCTGCAAATATATCTTGATTACTGATTCAGCTTACACATATTTTAGTCAGGTTAAGCATGTGTTAAGTGGACTTTTAGTTCCCTTGAACCAGCATTAATATCAGGGTTGAAATTGTTTGTATAACTATGCCAGTGGCCAAGTTTAATGAGTTCCCAGTCCTTAAAAAATGTTAAGGGCACACTTGATAATCTTTCATTTTTTAAGAAAAATACCATGTGCATGTTGTGGTGGTGTTTATTATATGAAGTCAGTGATAAATGTTGGTGAAAAACTGATATCAATAAATCATTGAGTAGGTGCATTAACTAGAGCAACACCAGCAATGACAAGGTAGTCAGATGCCTGATATATAGTAATGATTATGTGTGTCATATCATCACACCATCAGCTGCCAGTGTCATTGCTGGCAACAGCAGTATTTGACAAATACCCTGGTCCAGTGATTTCTACAAATACCAGTGAACATTAATCAGGACCATCAATTTCTTTTTAAGGTGGTTCACAGACTTTTCCACAAATTCCAATTCGGTCGGATTTTTTATTGAATAAAAGATTCTGACAACAAAGTCAAGGTACCCAGATGTCGCTGGAGTTATTACCCTTACTGTCAACACTGAATTGTCACATAAATCATTAGAAGCGTTCCTTCTGCAAAGTAGAGTTTTGATGTCCAGTTGTCTCATAACAGTGTTGCAAATTATAGAAATTAGTTTTTGTTCTGATACCCACCAAAATTCAGGTCGATGGTGATAAATATATGTTATAAAATTATATATGTTTTTCCATTTTCCCAATATTTTGGGTCAGAGGATCATGATAATTATTCTTGTTATGACCCAGTCTATTTTCTGAGAATATGTTTTGCTTTTCTGATCACAAATCGAGACATCAGCATGATCAGCCCAGTGGTTATTAACAAGGGAGATAGTTCTGTAGATATTTGAGATGACTGTTTTCTTGTTTTTCCCAGATATTGGAGAGTTCGCAGACACTATTGAATGTTCTGAAGAGAGAGTCTCACAGTTTGAGAGAGAAGTCCATGAGCCAAGGCGGCTCCACACAGCGAACACTGACACAAACCTAACCACATCATCCTTATCTCCACTTGTACAGATCCATGTGTATATAGACCCAGTGTTCCCTACCCCCAACTGTTTCTGTGATTGCTGGTGTGCCTGTGACAGTCATGAGCTTATGTATTTGATAGATATTATCTTTAACATGAAAACAGATACTTACCATGTAGATCATGGTGAAAACATTTCATTTTTTAAAAAAATAAAAAATAATGTAGATGTATTGCCTGAAAAATTTTGCCTCCAGTTAGGATCTATATTTATTTCTAGGAGAGATTCAAAATAATGTAAAATATTTGCCTGGAATGTTTGCCACCAGTTAGTCTCTATATTTATTTCTAGGAGAGATTCAAAATAATGTAAAACATTTGCCTGGAACGTTTGTCTCCAGTTAGTCTCTATATTTATTTCTGGGAGAGATTCAAAATGATGTAAAATATTTGCCTCGAACGTTTGCCACCAGTAAGTCTATATTTGGATATTTGGGAAGTCTGTAAGTTATTTTCTTAAATATCCTGGCGCTAATGGAGAGAACTAAATGCAACTAGTCCAAAATTCATTTCGAACTAGTTTTTCATGTGACATTACATGTACATTTTTTTTGGGAAGACTACCAGTCTACCGGTACTTTTCATAGTGATCCAGTCAAAGACTGTTAACATGTTTCAATGCATCTTTTTCTGCCTTAATCATTAAATTGAATTACATCTTTTGTCACAGGTCTAGTAACAATTTATAAATGTATCTAATAGGTGGCACAAGTATGACAGAGCATGTTGTATCTGCAGTGTATGAAATGAACTTGTCAAAAATCATGAAGAGTTGAATTAATGGCATAAGGGGCGGTTGGGTAGCCTAGTGGTGAAAGTGTTCGCCACCCTGGTTTGATTCCCGACATGGGTACAATGTGTGAAGCCCATTTCTGGTGTCTCCCACCGTGATATTGCTGGAATATTGCTAAAAGTGGTGTAAAACCATACTCACTCACTCACTCACTCTAAATGGCATACATTTTACATTACCATGTTAGAAATATTTGTCAGTGTCAGCCTTATTCTTGTGTTAATGGAAATGCCCCAAAGTGGCCTTTGATATTTTTTTGCTCACTCTACCCTGAATGTATGGTCCTGATGGTCCTTGTATAGTACACACTGTGCAACTCATGCTGTGTATTCAGGCCAGGCATCTGCTCATGGTGTCCTTGTATATAAATTTTGTAATGAAACCTTCATGTCTTCCTTGTTGATTTTTCGCCTTTGCAAACCAAAGTGAGCTTGCATTGTGGCCTGTTCTTGCTTCCAAGATGTCAATTATTTTCTCCTTTTTCGGAGAATCAGTTTGGATGTTTGTCACCATAACGATGTTGAAATGTCAAACTAATAATAATTTTTTAATTTGAAGTTCCGACGTTCATACAGTTTGGCCCTCACTCTATGTAGGTTCATACTCCAATGAACTCACACAAAGTGAGGGTTAATTCTTAAATATACTATGTTTGCATGTCATCACACCTAGATGGACAGAAATTAATATGATGTGTTTTGCATGTCAGCATACCTGATGGAGTGGATCTGTTGCTCATGATATCGGTCACTGGTTTGTCTGGCCCAAAATATGATATTTACATGGTGCTATAATATAACTGGAATATTGCTGATAAACATTCATTTCTTAATAAAATTAAGAATTGAAAAAATCTTGACAGTTTCTTGCTGATAGAATTTTTTCCCCAAACAGGAAGTGTTATCATCAGTCAGAAGTGCTTCCATTTTGTGCATCAGATCCTGCTGCAACACCCTTTTATTTTCTGAAATTTCTCATATTTACCTTTATGTTATACCATTATACAGGCTTTGGAATGTTGGGGGCATTTATATTCCGCTTTTGTAAATCAAATAAATAAGGCCTGGTCAAGGGCAACGAAGATCATGATCAAAGACCCATGCCATTCTGTACAAACAATCACCTACACCTACATGTAAGTCGCAGAGCCCGACCACTTGTGCCCTTTTCAAAGTACTCACTCTGCATTCTGATCTGTGACTCCAGCACTGGCTTTATCAGATAACTGGGATCTGCCTCTAGCCAAAGAATAACACTGTGATGGATGATTTTATCACATCACACATTTTATTAGTGGAACATTTCCACATCACATATTTTCACTTAAAGCATATTTCATTAGTGCAAGGCGACTACGGGGATCAGGCTCACTGATTTGGTTGATGCATGTCACCATATCCCAATTGAGTGGATCGATGCTCATGATGTCAATCACTGGATTGTCTGGTCCAGACTCGATTATTTCAAACCGCCGTCTTATAGCTGGAATATTGCTGAGTGCAGCGTTAAATAACAAACAAACAAAACATTATTGCACCATAAACCGTGGTGGTTGACTTCAGTACAGTTACAATGATGACCAATGTGTAGGTAACATGCTTGACTAAAGTGCATCATTAGGTTTTTATTCAACAATGTGCAGTTGGAGAATATGAATGTGTGGAAGTTGTTGTCTTAGGAACACATTCACACTACTGGTGGAATTAGAATGAGATGTCCTGAAGGTTATTTAAGATAAAAGAAATGTTTGAACACTTTTGGACCATATCCTATGTATGTCATTTTCTTGGCAGTATCAATGCAGCAAACATTTCCAAGACATTTTGGTGATGTTCACTATTTCCTTCATGTCATCCTATGGCCATACCTTTCACCTCAAACTTTCCAATACTTTTCAAACTTAACCATCACATTGACCAGCTTCAAATTCACACCATGTGATCAAATGAAAATTGCTCATTCATCAAGAACATTTTGCTGCATCAAATAAGACTAGAAATTGCTTCGGTGTCCCTGAGTCTTTAGAGGGGAGGGGGTAGCATGACTTCCAGTTACATTGGACATCACTACCAGCGCGTTATTGGTGGTACAGCATGCCGAAGTTCTTTGTGGTGCAAGAGTTGACACTATCAAATCGAAGACGGACTGCACGAAGTATTCTTGGTGTTTTGCAGTGGTTCAACTCATCTCAGTACCCAAACGTAAAGAAAACGCAGATGTCAGTAAATGTTCCAGATAGACTGTCACTTAACATTCTGTCCAGGGGCAGTCTTGCTCCCGTGTGTGGAGTTATGCTGTTGAGTCATCTGAGATACTCCACTGCTTCGTGCTTGCGAGCGTGGGTGGGGGAGGGCGTGGCAGGGTGTCTGTGTCCACGGCCAGCTTAATGGTGGTAGATCTGTTCACACTGGCCTGGAACAGTGCTGAAACAAAGAGAATTGCTGAAGTTCAATCTGAGCAGAAGCAGAAATGGGATGGTCTTTTCAGTTGACCAGAATCCTGGTATTTGAAAAAAATAAAGTAAATGACAAAACACTGTTTTATATCAGTAACGACCCATGAAGATCCGGGGTAGAATAAGTCTTCCGCAACACATGCTTGCCGTAAAAGCATACTATGCTTGTCGTAAAAGGCGACTAACGGGATCGGCTGGTCAGGCTCGCTGACTTGGTTGATGCATGTCATCGATCCCAATCACTGGATCGATGTTCATGATGTAAATCACTGGATTGTCTGGTCCAGACTCGATTATTTACAGACCGCCGTCATATATAGCTGGAATATTGCTGGGTGCGGCGTTAAGCAACAAACAAACAAACAAATTATATCAGTAACAAGGTAAGAAAAAAACATCTCATGTAGAGTTGCTGTTTCAAAAATAATGTAAAAGTTATGACGAACGCCTATTCCTCCCGCTACCACTTTTTCTTTCTTTTACTAATTACCATTTTTAGAAAATTAAAAAAAAAATGTTTGAAATTGAAATTCTGTAAAAAAGGTCCGGCCCATGTGGATTTTTCATTTGTCAAGGAAGGGGCATTTATGTTACTAAGCAATAACAGCACTAGAACCCTTTTGCAACTTTTGCACACACAAAATGTAAAGCCCACTAGTTCAGCCCGGGTTCGATTCCCCACACGGGTACATTGTGTGAAGCCCATGTCTGGTGTACCCTGCCGTGATATTGCTGGAAAATTGCCAAAAGCAGCGTAAAATCATATCACTCACTTACTCACTTGGTTCGAAACCAAAACCAAATACATGTATTGCCAAGGCCGATAGCATTCATTGGTCCATCCTGTGTTTTGGCCATGTGTTGAGTTACGAGAAAATATTGGGCACAGGCGATTGTATAATCAAGATGTTCCACCACGAGTGCTATGGACTATGGTTTATCCTTCGCCAACCTACACCAGAGATTTATCAAGGATTCCAAACTCGGTTCCATTGGCAAGTGAACTATTGTGTTCAAAATTTGACTTGATTGAAGTTCTTATTTTCTTAGGTTTAAATGCATATTGCATTCAATGAAATGGTGTAAATTACAGCCATTTCCCCTTTATTGTTTCCGATTCCTGTTACCACTGAAATACAAGTCACCTGTACAAATCCATAACATTAATTGGAGCTTTATTGACATGAATTAGGAAACATTAAATTCCAATTTGCGATTTTCAACGGACATTTGCTGCAGACTTCGGGCCGAATATCGGCCTCTGGGCAGGTCTAGATGAATACCTGCACCCCTTCCTGCAGAGAGACATCTGAATGGGGAGTTGGGGAAGAATACAGGTCCCATGCACCCTACGGTTGTCTTAAGAGCCGAATCCTGTTGACCTCCGTCGTGATATGGCAAGGATGTTGCTGAAAGCAGCGTAAAACCAACCCATTCACTCGAATATTTACAGGCCTTTAATACTGGGTGCGGCATAAAACAACATGTATTCACTCGTACAGGAGGAGGCGATATATGGCTGAAATATTGCCGACGCGACGGTACATATTAACTAATTCCCTCTGTCATGGGAATGGTGATCTATCACCACAGTATGTTACACCAGCACACACACCTTTACAGTTGTTCATCTTGTTCTCGTACTCCATGTTGAGGGATTTGAGCAGGAACATCTGAGTTCTCTCCCTTAGAAGACTCTCGCACAGGCGGTCATACGCGCTGCCTCCGTGGTCAAGTAGTTTGTCCAGCATGAGGCTCGCCTTCTGCCGCCGGGTCACCTTGTGGTTTATTTCCTCACAATCTTCCCCCGACAGGACACACTGTGAACGCAGGAAGTCGTAATGTCGATCTGGGTTCAGGAATTTTACCAACTGCGCTCGCTTCTCTCTCAGGATCTGCGGAAAAGAACCGACGGCAGCGATCATTAGGATATGGAATTAGAGAGTGGTCATTTATCATAAGCAAGAGGAGGGGTACATTTTATGCAACATGTATGAAGTAGAGCAGCAAGAGAGGAACGGTCAGTTGAGTTGCCAAAAAAAAGCATCGATCAAAGGATGAACCTGTAATCTCTGCTGACCAATGCAATGACACCTATGTGAAACACATGTTTGATTCTTTGTTTCTTAGTTGTTTAACGCCCCACTCAGCAATATTCCAGCTATGTGACGGCGGTGTGTGATTAATCGGGTCTGGACCAGACAATCCAGAAAATCGATCCACGAAATTGGGATACAGTGACATGCATCAACCAAGCCAGTGGGCCTGACCACCCGATCCCGTTAGTCGGCTCTTACGACAAGTGTAGGTTGCTGAAGGTGATGCAGGTCTCAGGCGTTTGGTGGAACGGGTATGGTGCTGACAAAAAACCTAGAAACATAATCGGGGCGAAACGGGATTCGAAGCCACGATCACAGGTTTCTGGTGTGTCCAAGGGACGCAACTCTGCACAGTGAATTGCGGCGCCTTGGGCGACTGGGCCACCAATGCCCCTACTTCATTGTAAAAGCCGACTTAACGTTATGTGGCTGCTGAATTTGACTTGACTTTATCTTTGGATTCCGACAGCATGGATCGTTGTGGTTGGTTGGTTTGTTGTTTTACGCCGCACTCAGCAATATTCCAGCTATTTGACGGCGGTCTGTAAATAATCGAGTCTGGACCAGACAATCCAGTGATTGGGATCGATGACATGCTTCAACCAAGTCAGCGAGCCTAACCACCCGATCCCGTTAGTCGCCTCTTACGACAAGCATATAGTCGACTTTTACGGCAAGCATGGGTTGCTGAAGACTTATTCTACCCCGGATCTTCACGGGTGGGATCGTTGTCCAAACTCGATTGTTTATCGGCCACAGTGTCCTTGTATGCTGAAGACAGCATTCACTTACACGGGACAGAGAAACAGGAAAATAGAAGTAACTCGTGTCCCTTGTTTTCCCACGAGAATTAGCTGAACGATAATGTCGATTTCATCACAATACACCATGTCAATCATTAAATACAATACAATAAATCATTTTGCATCCTGATCCTATTGACAGACAAGACGGAGGAGGAAAGTCTTGTGTCATAAAATATGTCAGGTCATCACAATAAACATCCCGTTCAGGTTCAGATCAATCTCAGATTTTAAAAAAATAAAATAAAGTGTTATAACCGTGCTTCGCAGTCAACCGGAACTGTCGTGAAGGCGTCACAATGACAGACAGACAGACAATAATTTATTTGCGTCTCACCCATAAGGTACATTGTACAGTATACATATAAATCAAAACATGTTTAAAACTTACGGCCAGTCGTAAAACGACTTATGAGAGACGATATGATCATAAAACCAACTTATATACTAAAATGAGTATACATACAATATATACATCATGAATATAAAATAGATCGGCGCTTCAATAAAATATCATAGCAGGTTTTGGCCACGTAAAAGGTGAGATCGGAACTGGATAAAAGTAGTGTAAATTGCTCACAGTAGGAATAGCCTTTGAAATACGGATCGGTAAAAGTACATCGTTTAAGAAGATCTGTTCTCACATCATTATATAATGGGCATAAAAGTAAGACGTGTATCTCGTCCTCCACACAGTCTCTACAGTTAAAACAAAATCGCTCTTCTGCTGGAATATTAGAATAGCGGCCAGTTTCTAACTTTAATGGGGCTACCCCGCATCTAAATTTAGCGAGCGCACTTCTGTGGCAACGACTCAGTGGTTTCTTCACGTATTCTTCATAACAATGTGTTATAACGTGGCTGTCAAAGATACACAAGGAAAAGGGTTGTTTTTATATATATCCCGAACTTAGAAGTGACATGTTTCACGATGACATTGAAGCCTAGAAGGGAAATTGTCGCCCTTACTACTAAATATCAAAGCCCCCGACACTGCAACCACGCGACAATTTGCCAATTTTTCGCATTGTCGTCTTTTGAACGACAACTCTACATTTTCTTAGGACAAATTATGTCGCCTTGTCGTCCCATTTAAAAGGTGTAAAAGTTGTTGAAAGTGGCGATCTAATGAGGCATGCTGATATTGAATTAAGGGGAAACAACACTCAGTCGTCTAGCTGGCGCCATTTAAATAAGCGCTATCACCAGATGCGACCCAACAAACTGGGCTTCGACCACCTCGTTGACAGCGAGGGGGAATCCCCTTGAATTCACGCATTTGATTGGATAATGCTTACTATAACCTTGCAAAGTTCGTATTATTTTTGCAACAATACAGGCAAATTGCATATGCATAACAGCATTACTACTCCCAACTAAACCCTACAGCTGTGTATTTGTCGTCATTCCCTTGATTTTTCAGTTAATGGCTTTATTACATGTATAATTAGTGATAGAACCACTTAGATTACCCGACAGACTATGCAAACTCAATAACGTTCACCCCTGCCTCTGAGGGTGTCAAGGATAAGTAGCAATCATTGGTTCGCATTTGGCTTTTCTTGTGGGTTAAAAAAATCATATGTGCCCTAGGGTAATATTACGTCACGAGACAACAGTGTATTGTTTCCGTCATCCGGACGGTATTGTTGACGTCAATCGAATCTTATTTTGAATCCTATATTTAGAAACGACGTCATAGCTGAAGATTGTTGACGTCATTCGACAAATTGTGGCTCTGCTGCTGATGCGATTTTCTGTCCTTATAGGTGAACACTAAAATTCGTCTCTGTATGTAGTCATCTTCTTCGGTAATAAATAGATAGAGGATATTTCATGTGAAAATCATGTTGCTCTTCTCCAGTGACGGAGAGAAAGGAGATATTTTCACGAAAAATATCGTGAAAATATCACCTTTTCCCTCAGTCACGACACATCGACAAAATGTGGAACTAACGTTAAAAGGAAGTCAACAGATGGTGTACGGACCAGAAACTTACGATAAAGGGAGACAATGTGAGGGAAGGTCACTTCTGTATGACAATAGTTCCGTCAAAGTGTTATGTTCACTGCAATGAAAATATCATTTTCTCAATTTCGGAAAATTCAGTTTTCCGGTAGATTGGTAGAAATGTGCGTAGAGCTGATTGCTATATCCGGCTCAGCTTATGAGAAAAATACACACGGTAATCAAAACAAAAACAGATGTCAGTTTAGCTGCAGTTCGTTATTGTATACCTTTCTTATGATATACAGCTTCTCATTCTTCGATCCTTGGATAGGTCTCGCTTCGCGCAGAATAGCGCCGAACACAAGTAAAACCAGTCGAAATATTAATCCATAATAAACAAATTTTGAATCCGCGAAGAAAAGGCCGATCCATGTTTCAATACTTTCAAAGTTGGAGTGTTGTTTCCCTTTTACTGTACACATACGCCGAAATTGTTCTACTCCTTTTAAAAATCCAGTAGTCTTTTATCTTTCGCTCCAATGGTGGTACAGGTTGCTTTTCTTAAAATGAAAATAAATCTTTGGTCGTTTCTTAGAAAATATTTCCCATGTTGAAACAAACTCTTCGTACTTCTATTTCATAAATTCCAATCTCCAATAGCTTTCCAAATCGATGAGGGACAATGGGTGACGCGACCGGCTAAGGCGGCGTCACTCGCTGTGCAGAGTTGCGTCCCCTTGGCCTGCCAGCAACCTGTGATCGTGGGTTTAAAATCCCAGAACCATGCACATGCATCACCCATAAGTGCTATTTTTATTAACATTTTTATAGATGGCATAGCTTGAAATGATTTATTTCTAGAAAGAAAAAAAAAGTTGGAAAAAAGAAAGAAACCAAACATAAAAGTGAACGATTTGTAATGGCAAAAAATATTCTATTAAAACAGTTTCCAATTAAACATGGCATTTTGTGCTAGAGTGTATCGTGTATTACATTTGGTTGATGTTGGCTGATGGTCGGCAATCCGCGTGAAAGTTAGCAATGAAACAATGCTGCACTAAGGTTGAGAGAGACACCAGTGTGTTTATTTAGGCCAAGAGGATGTTCTAACCGGAACTTCGGCTACATTATCTAATACACCAACTGACTTCGTCCCACCAGACCAGGGCAAGACTTACTGAGGCTGTTAAATTAAACAAACATGATGTGTGTATAGTAGACTGTACTGTAGACTGGTTACAGTGTTCTAATGATGTACAAGACTGTTAGACTATCATTCTGCGTGCAGAGTATTGTACACTGCTTTGTAGACTTGTTACAGTGTTCTATAGATGTACACGACTGTTAAACTATCATACTGCGTGCAGAGTATTGTAGAGTGTATTGTAGGCTGGTTACAGTGTTCTAAAGATGTACACGACTGTTAGACTATCATTCTGCGTGCAGAGTATTGTACACTGCTTTGTAGACTTGTTACAGTGTTCTATAGATGTACACGACTGTTAAACTATCATACTGCGTGCAGAGTATTGTAGACTGTATTGTAGGCTGGTTACACTGTTCTAAAGATGTACACGACTGTTAGACTATCATTCTGCGTGCAGAGTATTGTACACTGCTTTGTAGACTTGTTACAGTGTTCTATAGATGTACACGACTGTTAAACTATCATACTGCGTGCAGAGTATTGTAGACTGTATTGTAGGCTGGTTACAGTGTTCTATAGATGTACACGACTGTTAAACTATCATACTGCGTGCAGAGTATTGTAGACTGTATTGTAGGCTGGTTACAGTGTTCTAAAGATGTACACGACTGTTAGACTATCATTCTGCGTGCAGAGTATTGTCCACTGCTTTGTAGACTTGTTACAGTGTTCTATAGATGTACACGACTGTTAAACTATCATACTGCGTGCAGAGTATTGTAGACTGTTTTGTAGGCTGGTTACAGTGTTCTATAGATGTACACGACTGTTAAATTATCCTACTGCGTGCAGAGTATTGTAGACTGTATTGTAGGCTGGTTACAGTGTTCTAAAGATGTACACGACTGTTAGACTATCATTCTGCGTGCAGAGTATTGTACACTGCTTTGTAGACTTGTTACAGTGTTCTATAGATGCACACGACTGTTAAACTATCATTCTCCGTGCAGAGTATTGTAGACTGTATTGTAGGCTGGTTACAGTGTTCTATAGATGTACACGACTGTTAAACTATCATACTGCGTTCAGAGTATTGTAGACTGTATTGTAGGCTGGTTACAGTGTTCTATAGATGTACACGACTGTTAGACTATCATACTGCGTGCAGAGTATTGTAGACTGTATTGTAGGCTGGTTACAGTGTTCTATAGATGTACACGACTGTTAAACTATCATACTGCGTGCAGAGTATTGTAGACTGTATTGTAGGCTGGTTACGGTGTTCTATAGATGTACACGACTGTTAAACTATCATACTGCGTGCGGAGTATTGTAGACTGTATTGTAGGCTGGTTACAGTGTTCTATAGATGTACACGACTGTTAAACTATCATACTGCGTGCAGAGTATTGTAGACTGTATTGTAGGCTGGTTACACTGTTCTAAAGATGTACACGACTGTTAGACTATCATTCTGCGTGCAGCGTATTGTACACTGCTTTGTAGACTTGTTACAGTGATCTTGGATGTACACGACTGTTAAACTATCATACTGCGTGCAGAGTATTGTAGAGTGTATTGTAGGCTGGTTACAGTGTTCTATAGATGTACACGACTGTTAAACTATCATACTGCGTGCAGAGTATTGTAGACTGTATTGTAGGCTGGTTACAGTGCTCTATAGATGTACACGACTGTTAGACTATCATACTGCGTTCAGAGTATTGTAGACTGTATTGTAGGCTGGTTACAGTGTTCTATAGATGTACACGACTGTTAAACTATCATACTGCGTGCAGAGTATTGTAGACTGTATTGTAGGCTGGTTACGGTGTTCTATAGATGTACACGACTGTTAAACTATCATACTGCGTGCAGAGTATTGTACACTGTATTGTAGGCTGGTTACAGTGTTCTATAGATGTACACGACTGTTAAACTATCATACTGCGTGCAGAGTATTGTAGACTGTATTGTAGGCTGGTTACAGTGTTCTAAAGATGTACACGACTGTTAGACTATCATTCTGCGTGCAGAGTATTGTACACTGCTTTGTAGACTTGTTACAGTGATCTTGGATGTACACGACTGTTAAACTATCATACTGCGTGCAGAGTATTGTAGAGTGTATTGTAGGCTGGTTACAGTGTTCTATAGATGTACACGACTGTTAAACTATCATACTGCGTGCAGAGTATTGTAGACTGTATTGTAGGCTGGTTACAGTGTTCTATAGATGTACACGACTGTTAGACTATCATACTGCGTTCAGAGTATTGTAGACTGTATTGTAGGCTGGTTACACTGTTCTAAAGATGTACACGACTGTTAGACTATCATTCTGCGTGCAGAGTATTGTACACTGCTTTGTAGACTTGTAACAGTGTTCTATAGATGTACACGACTGTTAAACTATCATACTGCGTGCAGAGTATTGTACACTGCTTTGTAGGCTGGTTACAGTGTTCTATAGATGTACACGACTGTTAAACTATCATACTGCGTGCAGAGTATTGTAGACTGTATTGTAGGCTGGTTACAGTGTTCTATAGATGTACACGACTGTTAGACTATCATACTGCGTTCAGAGTATTGTAGACTGTATTGTAGGCTGGTTACAGTGTTCTATAGATGTACACGACTGTTAAACTATCATACTGCGTGCAGAGTATTGTAGACTGTATTGTAGGCTGGTTACAGTGTTCTATAGATGTACACGACTGTTAAACTATCATACTGCGTGCAGATTATTGTAGACTGTATTGTAGGCTGGTTACAGTGTTCTATAGATGTACACGACTGTTAAACTATTATACTGCGTGCAGAGTATTGTAGAGTGTATTGTAGGCTGGTTACAGTGTTCTATAGATGTACACGACTGTTAAACTATCATACTGCGTGCAGAGTATTGTAGACTGTATTGTAGGCTGGTTACAGTGTTCTATAGATGTACGAGACTGTTAGACTATCATACTGCGTTCAGAGTATTGTAGACTGTATTGTAGGCTGGTTACAGTGTTCTATAGATGTACACGACTGTTAAACTATCATACTGCGTGCAGAGTATTGTAGACTGTATTGTAGGCTGGTTACGGTGTTCTATAGATGTACACGACTGTTAAACTATCATACTGCGTGCAGAGTATTGTAGACTGTATTGTAGGCTGGTTACAGTGTTCTATAGATGTACACGACTGTTAGACTATCATACTGCGTGCAGAGTATTGTAGACTGTATTGTAGGCTGGTTACAGTGTTCTATAGATGTACACGACTGTTAAACTATCATACTGCGTGCAGATTATTGTAGACTGTATTGTAGGCTGGTTACAGTGTTCTATAAATGTACACGACTGTTAAACTATCATACTGCGTGCAGAGTATTGTAGACTGTATTGTAGGCTGGTTACAGTGTTCTATAGATGTACACGACTGTTAGACTATCATACTGCGTGCAGAGTATTGTAGACTGTATTGTAGGCTGGTTACAGTGTTCTATAGATGTACACGACTGTTAAACTATCATACTGCGTGCAAAGTATTGTAGACTGTATTGTAGGCTGGTTACAGTGTTCTATAGATGTACACGACTGTTAAATTATCATACTGCGTGCAGAGTATTGTAGACTGTATTGTAGGCTGGTTACAGTGTTCTATAGATGTACACGGCTGTTAGACTATCATACTGCGTGCAGAGTATTGTAGACTGTATTGTAGACTGGTTACAGTGTTCTATAGATGTACACGACTGTTAAACTATCATACTGCGTGCAGAGTATTGTAGACTGTATTGTGGGCTGGTTACAGTGTTCTAAAGATGTACACGACTGTTAGACTATCATTCTGCGTGCAGAGTATTGTACACTGCTTTGTAGACTTGTTACAGTGTTCTATAGATGAACACGACTGTTAAACTATCATACTGCGTGCAGAGTATTGTAGACTGTATTGTAGGCTGGTTACAGTGCTCTAAAGATGTACACGACTGTTAGACTATCATTCTGCGTGCAGAGTATTGTACACTGCTTTGTAGACTTGTTACAGTGTTCTATAGATGTACACGACTGTTAAACTATCATACTGCGTGCAGAGTATTGTAGACTGTATTGTAGGCTGGTTACAGTGTTCTATAGATGTACACGACTGTTAAACTATCATACTGCGTGCAGAGTATTGTAGACTGTATTGTAGGCTAGTTACACTGTTCTAAAGATGTACACGACTGTTAGACTATCATTCTGCGTGCAGAGTATTGTACACTGCTTTGTAGACTTGTTACAGTGTTCTATAGATGTACACGACTGTTAAACTATCATACTGCGTTCAGAATATTGTAGACTGTATTGTAGGCTGGTTACAGTGTTCTATAGATGTACACGACTGTTAAACTATCATACTGCGTGCAGAGTATTGTAGACTGTATTGTAGGCTGGTTACAGTGTTCTATAGATGTACACGACTGTTAAACTATCATACTGCGTGCAGAGTATTGTAGACTGTATTGTAGGCTGGTTACAGTGTTCTATAGATGTACACGGCTGTTAAACTATCATACTGCGTGCAGATTATTGTAGACTGTATTGTAGGCCTGTTACAGTGTTCTATAAATGTACACGACTGTTAAACTATTATACTGCGTGCAGAGTATTGTAGACTGTATTGTAGACTGGTTACAGTGTTCTATAGATGTACACGACTGTTAGACTATCATACTGCGTGCAGAGTATTGTAGACTGTACTGTAGACTTGTTACAGTGTTCTATAGATGTACACGACTGTTAAACTATCATACTGCGTGCAGAGTATTGTAGACTGTACTGTAGACTGGTTACAGTGTTCTATAGATGTACACGACTGTTAGACTATCAATCTGCGTGCAGAGTATAGTAGACTGCTTTGTAGCCTGGTTACAGTGTTCTATAGATGTACAAGACTGTTAGACTATCATTCTGCGTGTAGAGCATTGTAGACTGCTTTGTAAACTGGTTACAGTGTTATATAGATATACTAGACTGTAAGACTATCATTCTGCGTGCAGAGAATTGTAGACATCTTTGTAGACTGGTTACAGTGTTCTATAGATGTACTAGACTGTTAGACTATCATTCTGCATGTAGAGTATTGTAGACTGCTTTGTAGCTGGTTACAATGTTCTATAGATGTACTAGACTGTTAGACTATCATTCTGCGTGCAGAGTATTGTAGACTGCTTTGTAGACAGTGTTCTTTAGATGTACTAGACTGTTAAGACTATCAAACTAGGTGCCTTTTAGGGTAAGGATCTATCTGCCTAGGAAGAAAAGTCAATATTTACATAGTCCTTTATCTGCCTCCAACCTGCTGTTGAACCACTCCTTCACGAGAACTACAACTATTTTTATCACAACTCTATTATCGATATAGACCGACAGGAGACACTCTCCATTAAGAATCCCTGGGTATACAGTAGACGTGTAGGTCGGTGTTCTGTATGTTACTCTACTGTGGCATACTGAAATACGGGAGTCACGTGATCAAGTTCGGACCCCTGCCTCTTACCTCGACTTTGATCCCGTTCAGAATGCTGGCCTCGTCCATAGTGTCACAGTCACTTCTTGAATACACGATTTCATCCTTTGGGTATACCATCCTACTGCTCATGGATACGTGTGCGGTTGTCACCACGTTCCCAAGGCCGACTGTACCCGAAGCCTGATTCGCTTTAAGTTTCGTCTATGGGGAATCGCGTTGATTCGCCTATGGGGAATCGAGTAGTTGATATGAATTGCCCAACTGCAAAATAGGTAATTAAACCCAATGAGGAAAACAAAACTCCGGTGACAGCTTGACGTAACGACCCGGCTATTTAGGTGTGTGTGTGTGTGTTTGTCAACTTCCTGGTAAGAGGTCAGGTCAATAACGACCGCCGCTCATATGAATACTCAGATTCACGATGAAGTTAAAGGTCAATACGATGACGTCATCTTTGTTACTGAAATGTGATATCAATTCTTGGAAGCCTCAGCTTAAAGGTTATGCTGAGAATAATACATGTTTATAAAGGCGTGAAGTATCGAGAGCTCTCTGGTCCAGTGAGGTCTAAGGGACATAACTCTTGTACCCTTACCTGACCCGGATTCTTGTCCGTGAATTTCTGGTGTGCATGGATGGAATGGGTGAGTGTTCTTTTACGCCACGTATGTCGGTATCGATCTCAAATGCTATGATGTTGATCATAATATCAATCACTTGATTGTCTGGTCTCACCGTTTCGTGGATTCGTGAGTTCAAATTGTACATCGCACGGGAAATATTGCTTCAATATAATGATGGGAACAAGTTATTTATTTATAAATAATACATTTGAGTTTTAAACAATTTATTGAGGATCATGGAGGCTTACAGTACCTTTGCTTCCTTTATTCTCCGCTTCAAAGCAAAGAGTCTCACGCTTTTTCCAAGCCGATGGATGTCACGTGATAAAGCGCAAGCTAACCTCCGCTCAATCGAGCAGCTATCAATTTGGAATTTATTTGAATTATTTTACAATGTCATATTAAAACATGTCGGCAAGATGAATTCATTGTACAAAGATCACAATGGGTACATGGGGTTTTATGCGTCCCTCGTTAGGTGTTATACCACGAGCAGGATATGCTCCTGCGTTAGGTGACCGCCTCCGTGGTCTAATGGTAGAGCGTCCGCCCGGAGAGCGGAAGGTCCGAGGTTCGATCCCCGGCCGCGTCATACCAAATGACGTTAAAAGATGGTACTTGTTGTTACCTTGTCTGGCGCTCGGCATTAAGGGGCTAAAACAAGGACTGGTCGGCTCGGAGTCAGTATACTGTGTCTGAGTGGGGTATTCATGTTAAACTGCGGCATGGTATCTCAGTGTGCTAGCACTATAAATCGGCATCAGTCTGGACTAGTACAAGCAGCCACACACACACACACACACACACACACACACACGTGCATGCACGTCGCTATATAAGTGCAATAATCTTGGACGCGACGTTAAACCCAATTTCACCTCACCTCACCTGCGTTAGGTTGTGTACCACGAGCCAGAGGCAGGCTCTCTCAGTCGGGATTATATATCTCACCCAAAATGTATTTACAAACAACATCTTACTTTTTAAACCCTATTCAAACGTGGAGTGGTCTCTGTGGTTTTATACTGGTTATGTAACATTTGATATTTCAATAAAAAAATAGAATAGAGATGTCCGTCTATTTATGCTCCTGAAAATAAGTGTTTATGTTACATGAGAAATATGTAGGCGAGCTGTATCACTGAACAACATGGGTACAAAAACAAGATACACATGTGCAAGTCTTTCTATAGCGACCCGTCAAGATCCTGATTATAATAGGTCTTCAGCAACCCATGCTTGACGTAAAAGGCGACTAACAGGATCGGGTGGTCAGGCTCGCTGACTTGGTTGATGCCTGTCATCTATCCCAATTGCGTGGAAGGATGCGTCCAGACTCGATTTTTTTACAGACTGTCTTCATATAGCTAGAATAATGCTGAGTGAGGCGTTAAACAACAAACAAACTATAAAGCAAACATCAAATAGACCAATACAGATCATTTAATGTTTGTTTGTTGTTTAACGCTGCTCTCAGCAATTGTCCAGCTATATGACAGCGGTCTGTAAATAATCGTGTCTGGACCAGACAATCCAGTGATTGACATCATAAGCATCTATCCACGCAATTGTGATACGATGACATGCATGAACCAAGTCAGCGAACATGGGTTGCTGAAGACCAGCTCTACTCACGGGTAGATAATTTAATGAGAAATGACACCGTAAATGCGAAGATATGCACCAGAAGGGCCTTTTTCTGCATGCACTCAGTGAGATTTGGTACAAAACGGAAATGTTGTGTGTCTCGTCAGCAGTCAATTTTCGCCACAACACAGCCGTAAAATGCCACATTTCACATTCTGCAAAAGTCACAAGGTCATCTGTCTTCTTGAGCCATGTTTCCCAGCAGGAAGTTGCCAGGGTCATGAATGTTGCAAGTACGGTAAGGTCTTGACGTATTTCACAGTATATTCTCTCTAACTTAACCCCACCTGGCTTCTTCTCTCACGACTTCCAGAATATATACATGAGGTAGGCATTCGTGACACTAAACTGGTTCCCTGTTGGTTTGCTCAGCAAGATTAGTCCAGTGAAGGAAGACAGGAGCCCAGCCAAATGTAGAAGAAGGCATGTATCAAAAACCATAATCATCTGCTCCAGCACCCTTATCTTGTTTCTTTGAATAAGAGGGTACTGTATCCAGTCATCCAAGATGGGCAATTTGATATGCAGAGTTGCATCCCTTTGGCATGCCAGAATCCTGATTTACACTGATTAGACTACAATTTTTATTTCATGGTTTTCCAACATTTGCTGGTTAGCTTGATCGTTCTGATCACATTTCACCATACCATGTGAAAAGGACAGAATGCTTGAATCCTGTACACGGTATAACCTCAATTCAACCTCAAAACCATAATTATGGAAATATGGGATGATATTCACTGACCAACCCTGTCGGACACTGTTTCCGTAGTTGCCGCCCACATGTTCTGACAACACCCTTGCATCTTGGACACAGGTTCCAGACAGCAACTCCCACAGCCAGTACCACCCAGGCCTATCTGCTGGGACAGTCAAGAGGGGCAACCCAGGCCTATCTGCTAGGACAGTCAAGAGGGGCAACCCAGGCCTATCTGCTAGGACAGTCAAGAGGGGCAACCCAGCCCTATCTGCTAGGACAGTCAAGAGGGGCAACCCAGCCCTATCTGCTAGGACAGTCAAGAGGGGCAATCCAGGCCTATCTGCTAGGACAGTCAAGAGGGGCAACCCAGGCCTATCTGCTAGGACAGTCGAGAGGGGCAACCCAGGCCTATCTGCTAGGACAGTCAAGAGGGGCAACCTAGGCCTATCTGCTGGGACAGTCAAGAGGGGCAACCCAGGCCTATCTGCTAGGACAGTCAAGAGGGGCAACCCAGGCCTATCTGCAAGGACAGTCAAGAGGGGCAACCCAGGCCTATCCCCTATGACAGTGAGGAGGGGCAACCTAGGCCTATCTGCTAGATCAGTCAAGAGGGGCAATCCAGGCCTATCCCCTACGACAGTTAGGAGGGGCAACCCAGGCCTATCTGCTAGATCAGTCAAGAGGGGCTACTCAGGCCTATCCACTAGGACAGTTAGGAGGGGCAACCCAGGCCTATCCACTAGGACAGTCAAGAGGGGGAATCCTGGCAGCAGAACATCAAGGTTTCTAGTGGTGCAAACAACAGTATTTATATGGCATTTGGCATTAAGTTGTTAGGGTGGTTTAAAACCAACTCCATCCCTCAATATTTGAATAAATGTCTAATTAAAGAAAAGAATTTTTTTGGTTTAAAATATATAGCAATAGAAATTGGCACAAGCCCTACAGTCCAAACTGCCCAATAGTTAAGATATAATAAGGACTAGTAGAAAGGGATTCGCTTTTTGTGATCATTATAAGAACTAGAGGACTACAACTGTGAGACTGAAATACCAACAGAAACAATAAACAAAAATCATCAGTAAACATAACTTTATTATTTACATAATACCAGTAAAACTGAGCCAGTACAAACAATGTATCAAAAAGGAATGTTTCTCCATGTAACCTACCTACATCAGTGACAATGTGTTCAAGATGATAAGGTATATATCCCCACCTTCTGAAGCACATGTCCATCCTGGTCGAGCCATTGTAAATAACTCTGTGTAATAAGTGTGGCCATTAACTGCTGCATTGATATACATCATATGAGTTACTTTGTGACTGTGTTGTGATTAACCCTGCTTTGAACAGTATGACAACATTTCAGCTTGATGTGGGAGGAAATCCTGAAGTGGTTGGTTGGTTTGTTGTTTAACGCCGCACTCAGCAATATTCAAGCTGTATGACAGTGGTCTGTAAATAATCAAGTCTGGACCAGACAATCCAGTGATTGACATCATGAGCATCGATCCACGCAATTGGGATCGATGACATGCATCAACCAAGTCAGCAAGCCCGAAGTGATGTAGATCTTTGACATTTACTACTTGGGCAAAAATTCACAAGCATGGAATGGTGCTGACATACCTCAAAACATAATCACAGCAAATCTGGGATTCAAACTCTTTACTTTCTATGTCCAATGACTCAAGACAAGAATCCTCTCAAAGATAGGAACAAGGAGAGGTGGACATTATACAGTCTTCATGCGATTTTTTTTTTCTGATTCTATTGTGATGATAGTGAGTGAGTGAGTGAGTTGGGTTTAACGTCGCTTTTAACAGTATTCCAGTTATATCACAGAGTGTCAGCTTAATGTGGGAGGAAAGCCTGAAGTAATGCATGTCTCAGATGTTTACCCCTTTGGTGAAACCCACAAGCACGGGTATGGTGCTGACAAACCTAGAAACATAATTGGGGCGAACCGGGATTCAAACCCATAATCATAGGTTTCTGGCATGCCCAAGGTACGCAACTGTGCACAACAAATTGCAGTGCCTTAGACAACTGGGCCACCCATGCCCCCCTTGTCATGATAAGATGCATATGACAATACACTATTTCAGGAAAAAAACAAAGATTTTCTCTAACAATTGCTTTAAACAATAAAGTGTAGACCTCATATGATCACGTTATTTTAAGACAATACCAATTCATGATCAGACTATAAAAGTGGCATCCTTCTTTAAAAAAAACTTAGATAATAATCAGAAGCTGCAAGGTTAACAACCTGATGTCCAGGGTGCCGTTGTAGAAATCGTTCTTAGCACTAGGGTGACTCCCATACCTTAACATAAGGATAATTACAGCTCTAACATAGTTTTGTACAATAGCACCCAGATAAAAAAAATACTTTTAAACATGAATTTGGAAGAAAAGCAAGAGGACAAAATCTTCAATATCCTCCGCAAATACCGGTACTTGGGAATAAATAAATAAAACTTGTTGTTGTCAAAAACTCGAATAATATCTTTTTATAACTCCCAAACTATCAAAAGGCACCAGTCCATCACTAGACCTATCTACGTACCAAATTTGGTGAAGAAATATTTTGTTTTCAAGATCTGCTCTGGAAACGACATCTTGCAGGGATGGACGAATGGTGTCCTTTTTAAAAAAAACACCCACACACACAAAACATAGTGCTGGAATAACCAGATGACTTCTAGAGTCCTTGATAGGAATGTGTTCCATGATGATACACAAGACTAACAGTCATCACACAACACACAAGTCAATATTTCTTGCATGTTTAAATAAGAGAATAGAGATTTTCAGATTACTAAAGATGAAGCAACAATAGACAAGCGAATATACACATCTTGCACTGATATGTTTTACTCATTATGTTTTATAGATAATATAACAATATGACAGTAGGTACCTGGTTTTTCAATAAAAAACATACATCTAGACAAACATAGACACTAAGATTTTTTTGGATCTTTATTTCAAATAGATAAAGAATGGTAAAAAATTAAGTCATTATTAATGTACAGCTGTACAGCGGTTATGTTGACGTCCATGTCAGTGCTGTTGTTGTTGATGGGCCTAGGGAGCATTTACCCACTGTCTGATGTTGGACTTCTCGAATTCCCGGGCCTTCCATACACCAATAGGGTCAGATGGGTTCCAGTGCCTGCAGATATACAACAGTGTGTGGCTACATTGGCCATACAGACACAGATCTTGCACACACCAACAGGGTTTAGATGCGTTCCAGTGCCTGCAGATATACAACAGTGTGTGGCTACATTGGACATACAGACACAGATCTTGCACACACCAATAGGGTTTAGATGCGTTCCAGTGCCTGCAGATATACAACAGTGTGTGGCTACATTGGACATACAGACACAGATCTTGCACACACCAATAGGGTTTAGATGTGTTCCAGTGCCTGCAGATATACAACAGTGTGTGGCTACATTGGACATACAGACACAGATCTTGCACACACCAATAGGGTTTAGATGTGTTCCAGTGCCTGCAGATATACAACAGTGTGTGGCTACATTGGCCATACAGACACAGATCTTGCACACACCAATAGGGTTTAGATGCGTTCCAGTGCCTGCAGATATACAACAGTGTGTGGCTACATTGGACATACAGACACAGATCTTGCACACACCAATAGGGTTTAGATGCGTTCCAGTGCCTGCAGATATACAACAGTGTGTGGCTACATTGGCCATACAGACACAGATCTTGCACACACCAACAGGGTTTAGATGCATTCCAGTGCCTGCAGATATACAACAGTGTGTGGCTACATTGGCCATACAGACACAGATCTTGCACACACCAATAGGGTTTAGATGCGTTCCAGTGCCTGCAGATATACAACAGTGTGTGGCTACATTGGACATACAGACACTGATCTTGCACACACCAATAGTCAGATGGGTTCCAGTGCCTGCAGATATACAACAGTGTTTGGCTACAATGGCCATACAGACACTGATCTTGCTGTTACCAATAGGGTCAGATGGGTTATAGTGTGTGCTGATAACTATGCCATCATATAACTCACTTGACAATCAGCCACGTGAGCCACAAATCACGATGTTTTTTCCCAAATTCTGTGAGTAGGACGATTATTGAGATCACAATAATACATCGTAATTTAAGAAACTGCTGATTGGATATTTTCTTTGACTTTTCTTCTCATAATTTTGGATATGTCTGGGGGGATTTTTCAATTACCCAACTTTGTCAACTGTATAGGTTCTGCAGAAACAAACAAGATACTGTATTTTAATAATTTTGTTCATCATTTGTGACACTTGTGGTCTGCAGGTAAATATTTGACAAGAGCCTGGATATGGAACGTGAAAATGTTTGTGACACTTGTGGTCGGCAGGTAAATATTTGACAAGAGTCTGGATATGGAACGTGAAGATGTTTGTGACACTTGTGGTCTGCAGGTAAATATTTGACAAGAGCCTGGATATAGAACATGAAGATGTTTGTGACACTTGTGGTCTGCAGGTAAATATTTGACAAGAGTCTTGATATGGAACGTGAAAATGTTTGTGACACTTGTGGTCTGCAGGTAAATATTTGACAAGAGTCTGGATATAGAACGTGCAGATATTTGTGACACTTGTCGTCTGCAGGTAAATATTTGACAAGAGTCTTGATATGGAATGTGAAGATGTTTGTGACACTTCTGGTCTGCAGGTAAATATTTGACAAGAGCCTGGATATAGAACGTGAAGATGTTTGTGACACTTGTGGTCTGCAGGTAAATATTTGACAAGAGTCTGGATATAGAACTTGAAGATGTTTGTGACACTTGAGGTCTGCAGGTAAATATTTGACAAGAGTCTTGATATGGAACGTGAAGATGTTTGTGACACTTGTGGTCTGCAGGTAAATATTTGACAAGAGCCTGGATATAGAACGTGAAGATGTTTGTGACACTTGTGGTCTGCAGGTAAATATTTGACAAGAGCCTGGATATAGAACGTGAAGATGTTTGTGACACTTGTGGTCTGCAGGTAAATATTTGACAAGAGTCTTGATATGGAATGTGAAGATGTTTGTGACACTTGTGGTCTGCAGGTAAATATTTGACAAGAGTCTGGATATAGAACGTGAAGATGTTTGTGACACTTGTGGTCTGCAGGTAAATATTTGACAAGAGTCTTGATATTGAAGGTGAAGATGTTTGTGACACTTGTGGTCTGCAGGTAAATATTTGACAAGAGTCTTGATATTGAAGGTGAAGATGTTTGTGACACTTGTGGTCTGAAGGTAAATATTTGACAAGAGCCTGGATATAGAACGTGAAGATGTTTGTGACACTTGTGGTCTGCAGGTAAATATTTGACAAGAGCCTGGATATGGAACTTGAAGATGTTTGTGACACTGACCTGAGGTCAAGATGGTGAGCTCCACCCTGCACCCACACTGCTCTCACTGTACTGGACACATCCTTCGTTACCTAGCAACACATCAACCAACGTCAGGCTGTCATTCATCCACCATTATCGAGAATTTCACACCTCCCTTCTATAAAGACCAGTACCCTGGAACCATTTGCCACCTCAGCTTCTATTTGAGGGAATTTTGAATAAAACAACCAAATTGCACTGTTTCTTCATGATTTAAAGAAGCAACCATATCACAAGTACTCAAATTTTGCATTGCAAATACAAACACAATCTCATTAAAATCAGATCTAAGCTCTCACTGCCGCTAAACAAAGATCTGAGGACATCCCATTACGGATCACGCCAGAACAACCTTTCGCGAACTTTGACCGACCACTGAAATGACTAACAAGAAGTCGACATCAGCCAATTAAAAAAAGCAGCTTTCTCAAGCTTTACGGCACTCGTTTCAACCTAGCAACTGCCATTTCAGACTACGCTTGAAAAGTATGTTGACACAGTTCTCGATTAAAATTTAAAAAACTAAACAAACGAACATTCTGGAATGTCTAATAAATGGTTGCGATTGTATGGCAGTGCTTCCCACATACTGTGCAATGCCTCCTCCATTCAAATGTTTATCCCAAGGAAATGAGAGATAGACAATAACTTTGATGGAGTCAGTCGTACTGGCCGTGACTGTAGTTCGGAATAACCCGTGTTAAAGTTTTCAAGGTTGCATGATCAGAAAACACATTCTGACTGTCACTTTCATGATTTGGTAAGCGATGCTCTGATTGGTCGGATGAAAGGTCGTTCTGACGAAATGGGATGTCTTTGTTTAGCGATAGCGAGAACTAAGATCTGATTTTAATGACATTGATACAAACAGAGCGTCTTGTATCTTAGTTACTTCCATCCCCTTGTCATAGCATAAAGGAACACATCTTTTTCCTGAAAAAAATCTCTTATAACAGTCTTTTAATTCATTTATTCACACTGAGAGCATCTGAATGAGGTTGCAATTTTGAAAATCTGTCTTTGTCAAACTTATGTACAGGAGAGGGATTTTGATTGGTTGTTTATTTTAAGCTTGCAGGTGATAACATTTTGAACGATTGTTTCCCTGTTTGACTGAAAAAAGCATTTTAGAATCCTTGATAAATCCCTGGTATTTTTCATAAGAGACGGGAGATAAGACACAGTGAGTAATGACTGTCATTGGGAGACATAAACCAATATAGAAAGACAAGATATTCAGGATGTCACTGCACAACATGACATCACGTCTGTCTCACGGCTGTTCAGGACAGTATGGTATTTTCAATGTCAATAAATATTATGCATTTCCATATTTTCTGCTCTTATTGAGAATTGGTTGCCATCCTGACCGATTTTAACTTTGACAAGAATTACCATAATGTTTATCGTGCTTGTCATAGATATATATATTACACAAAACAAATTCTTCTGCTACTTTATGACATCAGTTTTACATTTTAAACACATGAAAAATATATCTACCCCAGCTCCGCTCCATGGGTCAAGGTTACCGTTGGAGAAGACAAGGTTACTGGTACTCTTGATATCTGCAAGAATACATTAAGGTTGCACTGATCCTATGAATATTTTTTTCAATACGGCATTGTGTCGATGGAACCCTCCATGCAGACACTTTTATCGACCTGTGGTCACCAAGATGATTTTGGATGGTAAAATATCAATTAAATTGTGTCTTTTACTAACTTTTACTTACTCTCTTTGTAAAGGCCTAACAAACCCACCTTAGAAGGTCATGTCAGGTTAACTTTATCATCAGCCAATCAATGTTGAGGCTTTTTATTTCTTAGTACGAACAAGATATAAGCATAAACAAACCTAATGGGCAGTTCCAAATGAAAGTAATTAAGGCTGTGCTTTATGGGTTGTTGATACTTCTGAGTGTCAGAGCATCTAGAACCAAATGGGTGGGGCAGTGGGGTAGCCTGAGGGTTAAAGCTCTTGATGCTCAAGGACCATGTTCGATTCCCAAAATGGGTGCCTCAGTGAAGCACATTTTTGGTGTTCCTAGACATGAAATTGCTGGGGTATTGCTAAAATGGGTGAAGCAGTTCGTGCTCACTCACCAAAATGGGTGTTTATCTCGGAAATATTGGTGTTCAGTGTTAAAATCAAGACTTCTTGTATCCTTCATATCAATTCGGAGGTCGTATTCGAATAGGGTTCACCTGCGAGAACCTCCAATGAAGGGTTTGTGAGATCTTCACCTAGACATCATATCGGAGAAAAAGATCTAACTGACTCCATGGTGCCCAAGTAAGGATAAACATATTCATTAACTCACCACAGGATGAGCTCGAAACTTCTATAATTAGCATTTCAGTGACACCTTAATGTGGCAGGAAAACCTAAAGTGACACAGTTACCATGATGTATATCATTTGTTGAAACCCATATGGTGCTGACAAACCAAGAATAATAAGCAGAGGAATCTTGGATTAGAACCCATGATCATGACATCAGAGCACCCCTGAGGGATGCAACTCTCCCCAGTGACTGGGTGACCTGTTAAATCATTCTGGGCTAAATCTGGGATTCCAACCAACAGCACCAGATCCTGGCATGGCTAAGGAACATAACTCTGCAAAGAGAGTTGCGACCCCTTTGACACCTGGATCCCCCAATAAATAGAATTATGTCCATCAGGAATACTAATTGAGACTTACTTTGGCCGAAGAACTGTACAAAGGACCACTGATCTCGTGGCGTGACACCCCATGTTTTCTGGCAGTACTGGTTCCTCATGTCAGTGGTGAAGGGCAGCACTGGAAACATGTCCGTCATGTTGTTGCTGCCAGCGGGGAGCTTGATCTCTGTACAAGCCTAAGGAGGAAATACTGAAGAGGGACTGGTCATCTATTACAGGGAAGGTGGGATTGGGGATAGTGAGATTAAGAGCAGTCATGAAAAAATGGCACAGTGAAAGATGGGGAGTTAGGGACTGGTCATGTATCATAGGAAGTAGGGGTCATGGACAATTGTTACCGTATTTGACGTAATAAGCGCCCAGGGTGCTCTAAAAATTAGAAATAGGGGGCTCTTATTAGAATAAACTTTTGGTGAAAAAAAACAGTGTTGAAAGATTGTAAATTTAGTGGTTTATGCTGACAGCCTGAAATGATACAAAAGAAAAGTCTGTGTGTATTATACACGACAGATATATTTTTCCAGAATTTAATTGCCCATAATTAAGGGTGCATATAACACAGGAGTGCATATTATACATAAATAAATAAGTTTTGTGTACATTTATCAATTGGAAGGGGTGCTAATTAGGATCGTTCACTAGCCAATATATTAGCAAATATCGCCGTGGGCGTTTATTACGTCGAATACAGCATATGAAATAGGGGGCAGTGTCAACAAGATATGATATGGTTCTAGGACCAATCTCAACCCCCACTCCCTCCCTAGCAAATTTAAGTAAGTGGTCCAATGGTTTCAGAGTAGAATCTAAACCGTGAGTTCTTGTTCACAGAACACATTTTAAAGACAAATGAGAGAGCCTCCGTTCTCATTACCTGGTAGTCCCATGCTAGAGCATTGTTGCCAGTGCCACAGCCTGTAGGGTCAGCACACTCGATAAACTCTGCGTCAATGTCGTAACACTTAAGTGTACCTGCTGTGCCGTTGTAGAAGATGCCTGCTGCTTCAGCCAGCCCTGTCACCACGCTGCTGGCAGAGTTGATAGCCACACAGCCTGCCTGGATGGAGACAGAAACATCAGTGTTTGTAAGCATTTAGTGACTTCGGCCAGGCTAATTTGTTGTATGGAGTTTCGTAGTCAACATGCATGGATGCAGGTATTGAAATTAAGAAAACTTGCAACTTTATAGATTTATAGACTTTATAGAACTTCTGGTTTATGTTTAGATGTAGATTCTTACACCATTATCAAGCTGGGGTGACTACAACCAAGTTTGTTTGTATATTTGTTGTTTAACGCCGCACTCAGCAATGTTCCATCTATATGATGGCAGTCTGTAAATAATCAAGTCTGGACCAGACAATCCAGTCATTGATATCATGAGCATCGATCCACGCAATTGGGATACGATGACATGCATCAACCGAGTCAGTGAGTCTGACCATCGGATCCCGTTTGTCGCCTCTTACGACAAGCCTTTTATAATGAGAGGTATATATATGCATGACATGTTGTGATAAGCAGCAGATGAACATTAACAACAACAGGTGGACAACAAGTAGCACACAAATAAAAAAACACATTTTTTCATATTTTAAGGCACTATTTTAAGTGAAGTTTTTAAAATTATAATTATAGGTATTTCATTTTCAATTTAAATTCATTTCATGTGAGCTGGAAAAGAGAGAAAGTGTATGGATTTACACCTTACATATTTGTATTTCCCTATCACTCTATAGTATTTTCTCACTGGCAAGGGGTAGCGTAGTGGTTAAAGCGTTCGTTAGTCTCTGAAAATATATATTTTTGATTTTTTTAACAAATACCTCTATTTACAATGAAAAGGTGCCTCTGTGAGATGGGAGCCTGAGAAATCTTGACTTGCTTCATTTAGAGCTATAGCATTACATAAAGTGCTGGGCGAAATGGAAAATAACATGGTTCAGGGACTGTAAGACAGACTAAAGGACCAACTTTATCATATTCACGAAGGTCTGGGATTATTTTGAAAAAAACTGTTCTGTGAAAAGATTTAATTCTTTCACTACTCCTTTCACAGAAAAATATTGTGTGTTTCGAAGCTGTGAAAACATAATTTATCTGCACATGCCGGATGTTGATATATAATGTTACAGGAAGAAATATTGAAGGGTTTTCAAGTTCAGCTTCATAACTGTATGTGATGGACGGATGGGGGGGGGGGGGGGGGAATATAGAATGCCATGGAACAATTTTATTTTTGGGGTAAATCCTGGGAATATATAACAATTTTTTTAGAGTACAATTTAGAAATTAAAATTAAAAATCACATCCCCCTCCACTCCCAGAAATCAAGTTGTCGGGCCCCTTACCTTGACAGGATTGGCTGGGAGCTGAGCCTCGAATGATGCCTTGTAAGGGTAGTCCAGCATAGCCATGAAGGTGAAGGCGTTCCTCACCCACCCCAGGAGATGCTGGAACGCCTTGGTGTCTGCCAGAGGCTTGCACAGGTTGAACATGCGAGAGATCTCACTCAGGCCTGGAGAAACACATTGTGATTAGGGAGGGTTTAAGTTATTTTACAGTTATGTTTTTCAGGTTTGTTCTTGTGTTGCCACGTTCAGCAAAATTCCAGCTATATAACGATGGCCTGTAAATAATTGTCTGGACCAGACAATACAGCGATTGATATTATGAGCAATGATCCATGTCATTATCTCATCACTGCATAGGTTGCTTGGAACAAATTCTAACCCGTACTACCTTCGATTTTTAAAAATTTAATTTCTAAATTTGTATATGCCTCTCACAAGTTTTACAATTCTTTCCAGGAGGAGGGGATCAAGGGCAGATCCAATATTTTTAAAAGGGAGAGGTCCAATAACAACAGTGAATTTGACACAAAAGACTATATATAAGTCAATGATTTTGACCCAAGAAATATAGTAAGTCAATGGCGTCAGTCAGCATGGTCAGTCAGTCAGTCAGTCTGTCAGTCAGTATTGTGGGGTATGTAGCAAATGTGATGCTTTTAAAAAAAACAACATAAAAATGCTGGAAAATGTATTTCTTCAAACAGCATATTTAAAATTAAGGCAACTTCTCTGCATATGTCAGTGTGGGTTATGGCAGTAAAAATCCAGAGTTAAATCAGTAATTTTAAAAAAAGCAGGCATAGCTTCCGTGCACTGGGATACCTGCCTTAAACTTCACCCCCCATCCCGCAGACACAAGGACAAATGTCACAAGCGTGCAATGTCTGACCCTTTCCCAATGTTGAAGCATATTGAAAAAAACTTACTGTGTACTTACTTATGTTATGTTGAAAAAACAAGACAACATTGCCAACAGAAGACATTAATACAACATATACCGGGTAATATCATTGTGTCATAATAAAGGCATGGCGTTTGAAAACAGGACAATATTTGTACTGTACATTCTCAGAATGACAAAACTTTATGAGAGCATTTCATTGTCATCAAAATCGATGCGGTAAGTAGGAATAATCCTTACAATTTACTTTTTAATCCCGAAGTTATGAAAGCCAAAGCACATAGCCAATGACTTTCCATTTTTTCTGAATATGCTTCACACATTTGTCCCCATGTCGCTAATCGAACCTGTGATCGTCAAGTGAACGCTTCATGTAATCAACTTGGTAAAGTCTTCACACAAACTTAGAGTGGGAAAGTCTTCAAGGCTATTTTCTAAATATCACAAAGATGCTACTTGCAACCACTTGTTTATACTCTAGTGAAACAAGCTGTACTTAAGAGAAAAGGAATTGCAAGGGCTAAGGATTCTTTGACAAAGTACTTAAAGTCATATGCGCATTCTGACTGGTTTGTCATGTTTTCGCAAATAATATCGATTGATAGTCTTTTGGCTGTTGATGGAAAGAGGTGAGTGGTGATGAATGCTGGCTGATTTTGTGATATTGAACTCTGATTGATGCTCACACTGTCAACCTGTGGTTTGGTTTAATGCTGCTTTTAGCAATATCACTGTCACACCGGTTCGCCCCGATTATGTTTCTAGGTTTGTCAGCACCATACCTGTGCTCGTGGGTTTCACCGAAGTGGTAAACGTCTGAAACCTGCATCACTTCGGGCTTTCCTCCCACATTAAGCTGACACGCCGCAATATTACTGTTAAAAGCGGCGTTAAACCCAACTCACTCACTCACTCACTCACTCACTCACTGTCACAGAATGTCAGCTTCATGTCGATATAAAGCCCAAAGTGGTAGCTGACAATCAAATACAAGTGTGGGTGCTCTCAGACCAATATCATCATCAAAGTGAACCTGGAATTTAAAACTTCCAACTGTCTATGGATCCTGGTATCACAAAGGGAGGCAACTACTCACTGCCAACTTCAACCACTTTGCCACCAGGATCTGCTGTTAGTGGGTTCTAGTCAAGGATGGAAAGGCACCATTATTCACTGTGCACATTTGTCTTCCTTAGGTGAGCCCGGATCCTATGATTGTGGGTTTGAATCCAGCAGGGTGAAATTTGAGAAAAATGTCATGAAAGGATTGCTGCTTATCTTTTTATAATATAATGACACAATGAATGACAACACAAAGAGTTACCTCCCTTGCAATACTGACCTACTTCATATTTTGCAGTTAGAGTGCCATGCTTGTGAATGTCACTGACCTGACTGGCCTTGGGCGGCCATGTCGTTGAGCTGACTGAAGGCCTTCTTCACATTGTCCTCACAGCCTGGCATGGCCTGGTTGAAATCCTGGTTCACACAAACAACCAGTCATCATCCTAGCTCAGAATATTTTACCGGATTCAAATTATTGCATCCTCTATGTACACAAATTGAGAATTGACACAAATAATTTACATTGCGAGTCCCGTGGGACTGTTTGAATTTATAATGATAATATTGACACTTCTATACTGGTTAGATGTATAGTCAAAGTTTAGAGTATAAGTTGTTGATTTTCTTCAATGTTTAGTGAGCATGCGTGGCGCATGTCTGTCTGCAGTTTAATGGAGCACTAACCAATATTCTAATTAAATGGCAGCATCTTGTACATACTCGTGTCTGGACCAGACAATCATTTGAAATAATTATCAACAATCCATGGGGGGATGTTGACATGCCGATCCATTAAGTCACTTAGCTCAGTGACTACTGAGACGGATTGCTATTGGCCAGTTTTAAGCCAGAATCCAAAAGGTTCTTAATTTAGTCCCCTCTCATGACAAGAAATGGGGTGTGGGGACATATTCTTCCCCAGTCCCCATGGGGTTACCTCCAGTGATATAAAAAATGATACAGGTCGCCAGCCATGGATGCCTATGTTCATGATTTACTGCTCATGAATTACTGTTAATAAAGTACAGCTCATGAATTACTGTTAATAAAGTACTGCCCATGAATTACTGTTAATAAAGTACTGCCCATGAATTACTGTTAATAAAGTACTGCCCATGAATTACTGTTAATAAAGTACTGCCCATGAATTTCTGTTAATAAAGTACTGCCCATGAATTTCTGTTAATAAAGTACTGCCCATGAATCACTGTTTATGAATAACTGTTCATAAATTATTGCTCATGAATAACTGTTAATGAATTACTGTTAATAAAGTACTGCCCATGAATTACTGTTAATAAAGTACTGCCCATGAATTACTGTTTATGAATAACTGTTCATAAATTATTGCTCATGAATAACTGTTAATGAATTACTGTTAATAAAGTACTGCTCATGAATTACTGTTAATAAAGTACTGCCCATGAATTACTGTTAATAAAGTACTGCCCATGAATTACTGCTCATGAATTACTGTTAATAAAGTACTTCTCATGAATTACTGTTAATAAAGTACTGCCCATGAATTACTGTTAATAAAGTACTGCCCATGAATTACTGCTCATGAATTACTGTGAATAAAGTACTGCTCATGAATTACTGTTAATAAAGTACTGCCCATGAATTACTGTTAATAAAGTACTGCTCATGAATTACTGTTAATAAAGTACTGCCCATGAATTACTGTTAATAAAGTACTGCCCATGAATTACTGCTCATGAATTACTGTTAATAAAGTACTGCTCATGAATTTCTGCTCATGAATTACTGTTAATAAAGTACTGCTGATGAATTACTGTTCATGAATAACTGTTCATAAATTATTGCTCATGAATAACTGTTAATGAATTACTGTTAATAAAGTACTGCCCATGAATTACTGCTCATGAATTACTGTTAATAAAGTACTGCTCATGAATTACTGTTAATAAAGTACTGCTCATGAATTACTGTTCATGAATAACTGTTCATAAATTATTGCTCATGAATAACTGTTAATGAATTACTGTTAATAAAGTACTGCTCATGAATTACTGTTAATAAAGTAATGCTCATGAATTACTGTTAATAAAGTACTGCTCATGAATTACTGTTAATAAAGTACTGCTCATAAAGTACTTCTCATGAATTACTGTTAATAAAGTACTGCTCATGAATTACTGTTCATGAATAACTGTTCATAAATTATTGCTCATGAATAACTGTTCATGAATTACTGCTCATGAATTACTGTTAATAAAGTACTACTCATGAATTACTGTTCATGAATAACTGTTCATAAATTATTGCTCATGAATAAATAACTTTTCATGAATTACTGCTCATGAATTACTGTTAATAAAGTACTGCTCATGAATTACTGTTCATGAATTACTGTTCGGGAATTACTGTAAATAAATTACTGTTCATGATTTACTGACAGTTCCCTTGATTACAAAATAGATATATCCAGGAAAGTGCGTGGATACGTGACATGAGTGATAGGGGACTAGCCAATCAGACGCTATATACCAAGGGACAGTGTCAGTGGTAGACAGGCAATCAGATCTGCATGTGTTTGGGTCAATATCAACTTTTTGTTTTGACTGTGCTGGAATACAGGCATTGTTTCTTTGCAAACTTGCTGTAGCTGTACATGCGTTTTGTCAACATGTGTTCAACAAAGATAATATCACATGGCCTGCAAAGGAAAATGGTTACGGAACTGTAACTTGACACACAATAGGCAATCTCATTAAAATCAGATCTTAGTTCTGGCTATCACTAAACAAAGACATCCCATTACGGGTCAAGTCAGAACGACCTTTCATCCGACCAATCAGAGCATCGCTTACCAAATCATGAAAGTGACAGTCAGAATGTGCTTTCTGATCATGCAACCTCGAAAATGTTTACACGTGGTATTGCGAAAGATAGTTACGGCTTGTATGACTGATTCCATCAAAATTATCGTCTATCTCTCGCTTCCGTGGAAAGAACATTTGAATGGAGGAGACGTTGCACAGTATATGTGGGAAGCACTGCTATACAATCTGAACCATATATTAGACGATCCGGAATGTTCCTTTGTTCAGTTTCCAAATTTCTAATCGAGAACTGTGTCAACATATTGTTAGTAGTCTGAAATGGAAGTCGCCAGGTTGAAACGAGTGCTGTAAAGCTTGAGAAAGCTGCTTTCTAATTGGCTGATGTCAACTTCTTGTTAGTCTTTTCATTGGTCGGTTAAAGTTCGTGAAAGGTCATTCTGACGAGACCCGTAATGGGATGTATAAGTGCACAACAGGTGATAAAGTTATAAAAGAAATGTCAATCAGTAATAGAAAGGGTCTCAAGGATAATTACAGACTATTCACTGGCCCACCCTGCAAGTGAATGAGTGAGTGGGTGGGTGGATGGTAATGAGTGAGTGAGTGAGTGAGTGAGTGAGTGAGTGAGTGAGTGAGTTGGGCTTCATGCTGCTTTGAACAGTATTCCAGTATCATGGGTTGTCAGCTTAACATGAGAGGAAAGCCCAAACTGTCAGATGTACCCCTTTAGTGAAACCGACAAGCATGAGTGTGGTGCTGACAAACCTAGAAACATAATTGGGATGAACCAGAATTAGAACCCACAATGATAGGTTTCTGGCATGACCAAGGGATGCAACTCTGTACTGCACTTTGCTGCACCAAAGACAACAGGGCCACGAGTGTCCCTGTTAATTTTTGGAGACCTAATTTCCGATTAATTTATCTAAAGCTTTCAAACTGTGACAGAGATAATTTATCAATGATGTGTCAGTTTATTAGGTCACTAGTTTTTCTGTCAAGAGTGACTTTGGTTCAGGGCCACTTGAACAAAATTTCATTGACATCGTGGTACTGTCAACTTCACACGAGGAGTAAGGCTGAATTGGCCCCAATTTTAGATAATTACCACTTTTCTGAAAACATGAACCATTCCATGGCAAGGACCATATATAGGGTGAGTGTGGAAATAGAATTCATTTGTTATAAGTGGGGAAGGGGCTGTTAATGTTAGAGGCAGAATATGTTTTTCTTTTAACAGAAGCCGAACATTTTTCTATATTTTCAAAACAAAATTCATGACATCCAGCATATCTGTTGAACAATTATTTGGTATGTGTAAAACCTGAGGCAAAATTATATTTTTGTATTTAGTCTGTTACAGGTGAGTAGTGGTATGTGAGTCTGACACAGACAAAAGTGTTTCACAAAAGTTGTACGTACATTTGACACAATGGGGAAGAAAAAATCTCTGGGATAGGAGGCATCCAGCATGTAGATCGGGGCACTGGCTGCGATGCCACCATCGATGATGTTTGGATACTTGAACCTCATGTATGCAGTCAGCATTCCGCCATAACTACAACAAGAATCACATAACCTGCATACACCTCACTCTCTCATGTCGATGTAGGCAGTCTGCATCACCTCACTCATGTAGGCAGTCTGCATCACCTTACTCATGTAGGCAGTCTGCATCACCTCACTCACTCATGTAGGCAGTCTGCATCACCTCACTCACTCATGTAGGCAGTCTGCATCACCTCACTCACACATGTAGGCAGTCAGCATCACCTCACTCTCACATGTAGGCAGTCTGCATCACCTAGCTCATGTAGGCAGCCTGCATCACCTCACTCACTCATGTAGGCAGTCTGCATCACCTCACTCACTCATGTAGGCAGTCTGAATCACCTCACTCATGTAGGCAGTCAGCATCACCTCACTCACTTATGTAGGCAGTCTGCATCACTTAACTCATGTAGGCAGTCAGAATCACCTCACTCACTCATGTAGGCAGTCTGCATCACCTCACCCATGTAGGCAGTCTGCATCACCTCACTCACTCATGTAGGCAGTCTGCATCACCTCACTCATGTAGGCAGTCTGCACAACCTCACTCACTCATGTAGGCAGTCTGCATCACCTCACTCACTCATGTAGGCAGTCTGCATCACCTCACTCATGTAGGCAGTCTGCATCACCTCACTAACTCATGTAGGCAGTCTGCATCACCTTACCAATGTAGGCTGTCTGCATCACCTCACTCACTCATGTAGGCAGTCTGCATCACCTAGCTTATGTAGGCAGTCTGCATCACCTCACTTACTCATATAGGCAGTCTGCATCACCTCACTCATGTAGGCAGTCAGCATCACCTCACTCACTCATGTAGGCAGTCTGCATCACCTCACCCATGTAGGCAGTCTGCATCACCTCACTCACTCATGTAGGCAGTCAGCATCACCTCACTCATGTAGGCAGTCTGCATCACCTCACTCACTCATGTAGGCAGTCTGCATCACCTCACTCTCTCATGTAGGCAGTCTGCATCACCTCACTTACTCATGTAGGCAGTCTGCATCACCTCACTCACTCATGTAGGCAGTCTGCATCACCTCACTTACGCAGGCAGTCTGCACCGCCTCACTCACTCATGTAGGCAGTCAGAATCACCTCACTCACTCATGTAGGCAGTCAGAATCACCTCACTCACTCATGTAGGCAGTCTGCACAACCTCACTCACTCATGTAGGCAGTCTGCATCACCTCACTCACTCATGTAGGCAGTCAGAATCACCTCACTCACTCATGTAGGCAGTCTGCATCACCTCACTTACTCATGTAGGCAGTCTGAATCACCTCACTCACTCATGTAGGCAGTCTGCATCACCTCACTCACTCATGTTGGCAGTCAGAATCACCTCACTCACTCCTGTAGGCAGTCTGCATCACCTCACTCTCTAATGTTAGCAGTCTGCATCACCTCACTCACTCATGTAGGCAGTCTGAATCACCTAGCTCATGTAGGCAGTCAGAATCACCTAGCTCATGTAGGCAGTCTGCATCACCTCACTCTCTAATGTTAGCAGTCTGCATCACCTCACTCACTCATGTAAGCGGTCTGCATCACTTAGCTCATGTAGGCACTCAGCATCACCTCACTTACTCATGTAGGCAGTCTGAATCACCTCACTCACTCATGTAGGCAGTCTGCACAACCTCACTCACTCATGTAGGCAGTCTGCATCACCTCACTCACTCATGAAGGCAGTCTGCATCACCTCACTCACTCATGTTGGCAGTCAGAATCACCTCACTCACTCATGTAGGCAGTCTGCATCACCTCACTCACTCATGTTGGCAGTCAGAATCACCTCACTCACTCATGTAGGCAGTCTGCATCACCTCACTCACTCATGTTGGCAGTCAGAATCACCTCACTCACTACTGTAGGCAGTCTGCATCACCTCACTCTCTAATGTTAGCAGTCTGCATCACCTCACTCACTCATGTAGGCAGTCTGCATCACCTAGCTCATGTAGGCAGTCTGCATCACCTAGCTCATGTAGGCACTCAGCATCACCTCACTCACTCATGTAGGCAGTCTGTATCACCTCACTCACTCATGTAGGCAGTCTGCATCACCTCACTCTCTCATGTTAGCAGTCTGCATCACCTCACTCTCTCATGTTAGTAGTCTGCATCACCTCACTCTCTCATGTTAGCAGTCTGCATCACCTCACTCACTCATGTAGGCAGTCTGAATCACCTCACTCACTCATGTAGGCAGTCTGCATCACCTAGCTCATGTAGGCACTCAGCATCACCTCACTCACTCATGTAGGCAGTCTGTATCACCTCACTCTCTCATGTTAGCAGTCTGCATCACCTCACTCTCTCATGTTAGTAGTCTGCATCACCTCACTCTCTCATGTTAGCAGTCTGCATCACCTCACTCACTCATGTAGGCAGTCTGAATCACCTCACTCACTCATGTAGGCAGTCTGCATCACCTAGCTCATGTAGGCACTCAGTATCACCTCACTCATGTAGGCAGTCTGAATCACCTCACTCACTCATGTAGGCAGTCTGCATCACCTCACTCTCTCATGTTGGCAGTCAGAATCACCTCACTTACTCATGTAGGCAGTCTGAATCACCTCACTCACTCATGTCGGCAGTCTGCATAACCTCACTCACTCATGTTGGCAGTCAGAATCACCTCACTCACTCATGTAGGCAGTCTGCATCACCTCACTCTCTAATGTTAGCAGTCTGCATCACCTCACTCACTCATGTAGGCAGTCTGCATCACCTAGCTTATGTAGGCAGTCTGCATCACCTCACTCTCTCATGTTAGCAGTCTGCATCACCTCACTCACTCATGTAGGCAGTCTGCATCACCTAGCTCATGTAGGCAGTCTGCATCACCTCACCCATGTAGGCAGTCTGCATCACCTCACTCTCTCATGTAGGCAGTCTGAATCACCTCACTCATGTAGGCAGTCAGCATCACCTCACTCACTCATGTAGGCACTCTGCATCACCTTACTCTCTCATGTTAGCAGTCTGCATCACCTCACTCTCACACTTTCTTTCTGAATTAAATGTTGAGTCTGTTCTGTTTAAAGGGGGTCTGGACAACAAAGGTATCCTGTATTTGCTTTCTGTTACAAGCTCAACGTTTTAAGGATCCAGTTTCTCACCTTCCACCAAAGGAGATGACACGGCACTTTGTAGCATTGAGTTGTTGCTTGAGGTCTGTGAGGAAGACAGCGTAGTCGGCAAGGGCTTGTTCCATCGTCAGGAGCCCGATCTGGGGAGACTTGAAACTGTCAGCGCCAAACGGGAGGGACTTGCCATAGAATCTCTGTTGATTAAGGAAGAAACTCTGTGAAAAGGCGTGTATATCTGTGTTGATCGCCAAATTGTAACAACATAATTGTTACAGTGTTACAATTGTGTTGTCTTTATTTGAAGTCTCCCATCTGTTTTATAGAGATGCTAAAAAGAGTATCGATGAAAAGATGAACCTGTAACCGCAGACATCATGCACATAGTTGTCACGTTGTTATCTCTGCTGACCAATGACACCTATGTGAAACACATGTTTGATTCTTTGATTCTTTGGCGTTTAATGCCGCACTCAGCAACATTCCAGCTTTATGACGGCGGTCGGTAAAAAATAGAGTCAAGTCCAGACAATCCAGTGACTAAAATCATGAGCATTGATTGGGATACGATGACATGCATCAACCAAGTTGTGTACATGACTGTCCTTAGATCAGATTATTTCACATGAAACACTGATGTTGAACTGGGTAAATGACGTATTTCACTCAGTTAAACAACAGAGAACACACTTTCAGAAAATCTAAAATCGATTTTGTCAGTGATATAAATATAGAATACAACGTTTATAACAAAGACGCTTATATCGAACTGATAAATATAACAAAACGTTGTTTTGGTCCCGGCCATTTGCTGTATATTATATCATATAAAATTGATGGATATAACGAACACGCTTTTAACAAAATAACGGATATAGCGAATTCACTTCGCTGTCTCATATGAACTCTGTCAATGACAATTTTCATGTTATAATGAACTGTTAATCTTTGAGCTGCTCACAAGTCACCAATCAGCCTATCAAGACACCTCTTGACGGCTCTTCAAAGCAGAAATAAACAATTAAAGTCCAGTGATTAACTGGATTAAGTACTGACCCTCAATAAAGAATAGTAAAACAGTGATAAGGCTGTAGGTTTTTGGTGTAGATATATTCTTTAAAATGCGACAACTAGTGTGGGGAAATCAGTAGTGAAAAATTATGATGGCAGACACCTTGCATTTATTAGCGGAAAGCTTATGTGTCTGTATGCTAATGAAGCTGTATCAAAATATATTGATAACGTGTATTTACTTGTCTGTCTGTTTGCTTGTGTGTGGTCTGCATGTGTGCATGTGTGTGTGCCTGCTTGCTTGCATGTGTGTGTCTGCACGCACTTCTACTATGTATAAGTCCAGATTTATGCTGATTTTACAGTGCCAGACCACTCAGATACCATGCCGCAGTTTCAACATATAAAACCCCACTCCAACAGTGTCCGTATACTGACTCCGAGCTGACCAGTCCTTGTTTTAGCCCCTTAATGCTGAGCGCCAGGCAGGGTAACAACAAGTACCATATTTTGGTAGGACTCAGACGCGTACGGGGGATCAAACCACCGACCTTGAACAGATTTCCTTGCAGATGCCATGGAAGCTGAAGATACCAGGATAGCGAGGTGTGAAACAGTGTCGTTATGAATACATTTCAACTTCCATGCCAAAGGGAGCTAAAAGCCATGACATACATTCTGTCATGAGCTATATCACCTCAACAACAAGTCTATCACAATGATTGAAAAAGTGTGCATCTCTCATGCAGGCGGCCACAAAGTATGGAACTTGGCAGGTTAGGGACCCACTGGGATTACTTTGAGAGACAGGCTATATAACAGGTCACCGTTTTTTTCTCTGAAATTAGGAGAAGGAGATTTTCAATTTTTAAGGACATCCAACATGGCCAACATACAATTCACTTTTTTTCTGGAACAAATGAAGAAATTATCAGCGATCACTTAGATGATATCGTGGTCTTGTCACATGCATCTCCTAAATCTTGACTGCATGTCACATCGCTGTCTTGCCTGCATATTTTAGTGTAGATTAAGAGAAGACATCAGGCAACAGCCATATCTATTTTTTCACTATGCAAGTAGGTTTTAAAGGGGGAAGTTCAAATATATGCTCACAGTTATTCTGATAAGGATATTTTCTTCAACCATTTAAAGTCATAATATTGATTGGAATAGGAGAAACACTGGCGTTTGAAATATAAGTAAAAGTATAATTCCCAAGCATTTTTTTTACAGTGATTTCTAAAGGAATAAAAGGCATAAAAAATAATTCTGTTTAATGGTCTATTTTCATAAATATATTTTTTGTCAAAATGTTACAAACTATATATAAGTCCTTTTCCATTATTGAAAGTTCGAAACAGATGCACTTGATTGTGAAACATTCTTAAATCTTGATTAACCAAGTCATAAAAGTTTAGTTCTCTAGTTCTAGTTCTTTAGTTCTCTGGAACATGAGCTTGACAAGTACCGGTAGTACAGCTCATTATCACACAGCTAAACCCAGTGTTATTTTCCCCCCAAACAGTAATTTACATTCTTGAAATGCCAAACAGGATATTTACCAAAACAAGAGTTAAAAAAGACAGTAAATAAGTTCCATAAGACACAGAAATGTCAAAAAATATATGAGATATTGCTTCAAAAACATGTTCAAAGTCAGACACAAGAGATAATGGCGCCATTACAAGATGACTGAAGTACCAGACAGAAATTCCTTATTTACCTGATGGTAATGTCAAAACATCACAGACACTATATCAGGTGCAGTAAACATTGACTAGTGGTGCTGAAGAGAATTCATTATAATACTCATCGAGACATATTCTAATCCTTTGATTTCAACATCAAACAGGAGTTCAAATATCTATTGGATATCAACTTGAACACTTTTAATGTTAAAGTATTGTTAACATTAAACACTATTGTTGTGACTGTTGTTGCAAACTGCACCTGTGAATGTTGTTTTAAGTTCAATGCATGTGTATGTTTGGGGTGTATTGGATGTCATGATGTACATATGGATCACAATATTGCTGTTGTATGGCTGAGAAACTGTTTTTTTTAGACAATTCCAAGTCAAATGGATTGCAGTGAATAAACTCTGAACTGGGACATTTGAAACAGTATTGATTCGGGACTGTAACAGTACAGCAGTATGTATGAAACAGTACTAATTAGTCTTAATGTTTGTTTGTTTGTTGTTGAACGCTGCACTCAGCAATATTCCAGCTATATGACGGCGGTCTGTAAATAATCGAGTCTGGACCAGACAATCCAGTGATTGACATCATGAGCATAGATCAGCGCAATTGGGATACGATGACATGCATCAACCAAGTCAGCGAGCCTGACCACCAGATCCCGTTAGTCGCCTCTTACGACAAGCATTGTCGCCATTTACAGCAAGCATGGGTTGCTGAAGACCTATTCTACCCTGGATCTTCACGGGTCAATTCGTCTTAATGATGATAACAGTACAGCATTACATATAAAACAGTACTAATTAGTCTGAATATGTTTGTTTGTTTGTTGTTTATATTTCAGCAATATTTCAGCTATATGATTGACATCATGAGCACTAACTGGAATAACCATGACATGCATCAAGTTTAGCAAAACCATGTCATAAGCAGTAAAACATGATGAGCAACAATAAAATATGATAAGCAGTAAAACATCATGTGATGAGCAGTAAAACATCATGTGATGAGCAGTTAAACCATGTGATGAGCAGTAAAACATGTGATGAGCAGTAAAACATGAAATGAACAGTAAGAACATATGTGGTGGGCAGTAAAACTATATGATGACTGACGTGTGTACTCAGTAAAGCCAAGAAACTGGTGGTAAACCAAGCATATTCAAACCATTGGGATGTCAATCTTGAAACCATGTGATGAACAGTAAGACCGACATGTAGTGATGGGCATCAAGCTGTGTGTGCACACACTGCACAGTATACCGGTAACCATATGATTGGTAACAAAACCATGTAATGATTAGTAAAACCATGGTATAAATAGTAAAACCTGATGATGTAATGATTAGTAAAACTATGGTTTAAATAGTAACACCCTGTAATGATTAGTAAAATGATGGGATAATTAGTAAAACCATGGGATAGTTATAAAAACCATTGGGATAGTTAAAAAACTTGGGATTATTAGTTAAGAAAACCATAGGATAGTTATGAAAACCATGGAATAGTTACGAAAACCATGGGATAGTTATGAAAACCATGGGATAGTTAATGAAAACCTTGTGATTATAATAAGTTATGAAAACAATGGGATAGTTAAGAAAACCATTGGATGATTAGTGAAACCATGGGGTGACTAGAAAACCATGGGGTAAGTAGTTAAACCATGGATAATGAGTATAATCATTTGGATACTTGAAGGAGTTGATCAATGTCTGCAAACCATCAAGATGGCTAAGATCAGAGCAGAAACAACTACTCTTAGTGCCATATAGAACAAACAAACCAGCTGAAACAGCATTTTCAGTCAAAGCTCCAACTCTGTGGTACAGTCTCCCTGAAAACCTAAAACTCATAAAAACTGTGTCTTCCTTTCAGGCCCGGCTGAAAACCTTTATCTTCTCCAAAGCCTACCCAGAATAACAAGCTCTTCTTTTTTCAGCAAGCGCCATTGGGCAGCATATAGTTAGAAACAAGGTGCTATACAAATCCATCATTATTATTATTAGTATTAGTAGTAGTAGTAGTAGTAGTAGTAGTAGTAGTAAAACCATGGGAGGATTAGTAAAGCCATGGGATGATAATAGTAGTAGTAGTAGTAGTAAAACCATGGGAGGATTAGTAAAGCCATGGGATGATAATAGTAGTAGTAGTAGTAGTAGTAGTAGTAGTAGTAAAACCATGGGAGGATTAGTAAAGCCATGGGATGATAATAGTAGTAGTAGTAGTAGTAGTAGTAGTAGTAGTAGTAGTAAAACCATGGGAGGATTAGTAAAGCCATGGGATGATTTGTGAATCCATGGGATATGTAGTAAAACCATTTAATGACATGAATGATTAGTTAACCCATGGATGAGACAGAACATTAGATATCCTTCATCAAGACCACATGCTGATTGTTTACCAGTGAGAAATAAAAAGGTCCACATGCTCTGGTGGAACACAGCTCCTGGGAGCTCTGGATATATTCACTGATAACCTTAT